TGATGGAAGAGTTTGTAGTGACCGAAGAGTGTACTCCGTGTTCTAACTTCCAGATTGTGAGTTTTTTGTTTTGTTTTATGTGCATAGGTGTTTTGCCTGCATGTATGTCTGTGTGAAGGTGTTGAATCCCCTGGAACTGGAGTTACAGTTGTGAGCTACCAGTGGGTGCTGGGAATTGAACCCTGGTTCTCTGGAAGAGCAACCAGTGCTCTTAGCCACTGGACACTCCAGTCTCCAAGTATTTGGTATTTTTTGTTTGTTTGTTTTTAAGCTTAAACATGCCATTTCGGGGCGTTGGTGGCGCAAGCCTTTAATCCCAGCACTCGGGAGGCAGAGGCAGGTGGATCTCTGTGAGTTCGAGGCCAGCCTGGTCTACAAGTGTGAGTTCCAGGACAGCCTCCAAAGCCACAGAGAAACTCTGTCTCGAGAAAAAAACAAACAAACAAAAAATGTCATTGCTTCTTCTCAGAGTCTTAGGATGTGTTCAAATCTGAAGTTAATTACATTATATTTTATTTTGTTTGCATTATTTTATGTGTATGAGTGTTTTGCCTGCATGTATGTGTACTTCCCTAAGAATTCAGAAGCGGTCATCAGATCTTCTGTCTTATGAGCCACTATGTGAGTGCTGGGAATGGAACCCTGTCCTCTGGAAGAGCAACCAGTGTACTTAACCACTAGGCCATATCTCCAGCTCCCCCTTTTTTTAAATTTGCTTTTGAGACAGTGTCTCATTATGTAACTCTGTCCTGGAATTCACAGTGTAACCAGGCTGGACTTGAATATTATGTTTATTTTGTGGATCAGGCACCAAAGAAGTCAGAGGACAACTTGGGGAAATTTTTCCACCACAGAGATCCCAAGTGTTAATCTTAGTGGCACACACCTTTACCCACAGAGGCATCTTGCCAGCCCTCAAATTTGAACTTAAATTCCCTTTGAAAAGATGCCCTTTCTACATTAATGATAGTATCATGCCCTGTCATGTTTTAATACATCAGGCTCTGGGATTTTTCCTCACCTCCTAGTTGTTGCCTTCCTAGTCATCACCACCATCCACATCTGGGCTTTCTGTTAACTGTCTGCTGCCCACCAGCTCTGGCCCTTCCTGAACAGCAGGTCTCTGTTTCTGCTGCTGCTCCTTCCTAACCTATGGTTTTGGACCTTTCTTGGTAGAAAACAACGCCTGAGTGTGGTTCTACAGGCTATGTGGAGAAAATCGCATGCAGCTCATCTAAAAGGAGTGAATTCAAAAGGTAAGGGCTGCTTCTCTGCTTTGAAGTGCCCTCCTCTGGTCTATTACTGTATAGCTATCTCCTGCTCTTGATGTAGTGTGGCATACTGAAGGAGGAGGGGATTTGAGCCAGATTACCCCTAATTCCTAACCCTAGTCTTCAGTGCTGTGTTATTTTTATTTATTTATTTATTTATTTATTTATTTATTTATTGGTTTTTCGAGACAGGGTTTCTCTGTGGCTTTGGAGGCTGTCCTGGAACTCGCTTGGTAGTCCAGGCTGGTCTCGAACTCACAGAGATCTGCCTGCCTCTGCCTCCCAAGTGCTGGGATTAAAGGCGTGCGCCACCAACACCCAGCCAGTGCTATGTTATTAACCATGTTTTCTGATGAAATAAATTGGTTAGAGGTGGGGAATGTAACTCATTGGTGGAGTACTTGCCTAGTATGTAGGAGGCCAGGAGTCTAACCCCGAGCACTGCTTAGAAAGAAAGTAAAGTTACCAGTTTGGCTGTCCTGGAACTCACTCTATAGACCAGGTTGACCTTGAATTTAGAGATCTGCAGTGCTGGGATTAAAGGCATGCACCACCATACCCAGCTTTTTTTATTTATTTTTTAAAAAGGAAAAAAGTTGCCGGGCGTTGGTGGCGCACACCTTTAATCCCAGCACCTGGGAGGCAGAGACAGGTGGATCTCTGTGAGTTCGAGGCCAGCCTGGTCTACAAAGCGAGCTCCAGGACAGTTTCCAAGACAATACAGAGAAACCCTGTCTCGAAAAACCCAAAAAAAAGAAAAAGAAAAAGGAAAAAAGTTGGGCATGGTGGTACATGCCTGTAACCCAGCACTTAAGTAGAGGCAGGAGAGGCAGGAGTTCAAGGCCAACTTGAACTATTTAAGGTCTTTAAAAAAAAAAAGTAACCAAATTGATTAATGCTACTCCTTATCTCACCAGGGTCTAAAGACATGACTAGCCCGTTTCTCTTGTTTTGGACAGTGTTTTGGACAGACTGAAATAGGGATCCACTCTTCCTATGACTCACTCTCCCTTTCTGCCTTCAGCTGTCGTTCAGCTCTGATGGAGCAACACTTATTCTGGAAGTTTGAAGGCACCATGGTCGGTGTGGCTCTGGTCTTCGCTTGCCTTGTCATCATTCGTCAGCGACAACTGGATAGAAAGGCTCTTGAAAAAGTCCGGAAGCAAATTGAGTCCATATAGCCGAACCCCACTGTATTATGCTGGGTCTTGCAGACTATCTCAGGTGGAGAAGGTTCAGTGGACTAATTTGAACTCTAAGCCTGTGGGAGTAGCACCTTTAATGAGCACAATAAAACATGAAATAGAGCTGTGCATGGCGGCACACGCTTGTAATCCCAGCACTTGAGAGAGTGAGGCAGGAGGCTCCTTGGCAAATTTGTAGGCAGGCTAGGCTGAACTACATAGTAAGACTGACTTTAAAAATAAAAAAAAGTAATAAAGGAGTAAAGCAATTTCCTTTCCTATAATAATTTGGCACTTTGGGGAGGACTGGGTATGGTGACACATGCCTTGAATTCCAAACATGGATGATAGAGACTGATCTGAGTTCAAACCCATCTTTCCCACATATTGAGCTCCAGGGATATGTAATGAGACTCTTATCTCAAGAAAATTAAATTAAAAGAGGCTGGTGAGTTGGCTTAGTACTTAAGAGCACTTGCTCCTCTTATTAGAGGATCTGGGTTTGATTCCAAGCACCCACTGTAAGCATTTTTGATGGATCGGATGGGATGGCACTTGGGAGCCAAAGAATACTGAGTGTTACAGCTCGGATAAAAAGGTATTCTAGCACACAGGAGCCAAGGAATATCACAGGTCACGGTAAGCATAGCAGCTTACAGCCTTGCTTCAGGTAAAGGCTTCCCTAGTGTATCAGCTCTGCCGGGGAGGAGAGGGTTTCCCAGCTTGGGTGTTTTCCCAGTGTAACAGTTTAGCTCCGGGAGAAGTTGCTACATTTCTGTCTGCTCCGGAGAGTGGAGAGCAAAGTGTAACAACTCTGCTCTGCCAGGGGAAGGTTTCCCCTGCAAAAGTAGTCCTGCTCAAAAGATCTTCACCCAAACCTCAATCAAGAGATTTGAGCCAGGCGTTGATGGCGCACGCCTTTAATCCCAGCACTCGGGAGGCAGAGGCAGACAGATCTTTGTGAGTTCGAGACCAGCCTGGTCTACAAGAGCTAGTTCCAGGACAGGTTCCAAAGTCACAGAGAAACCCTGTCTCAAAAAACCAAAAGGAAAAAAAAAAGATGTATTGGGAGGGAAGAATCCAGGGTGGCAGAGGACAGCCGGGCAGCCACAAGCTGAACAGACACGGGGTTTATATAGGGATTCTTGTAGGTGGGGATTGGTCAGATTTCAATCCCTGAGTTTAGGATGGCTAGATCTTCTGCTCAGGCACTGACTAATTTTCTGCACAGGGTTAGGGTCAGATTTGGCTCTGGTTTCAGGGCTAAAACGTGTTTCTTTTTTTTTTTTTTTTGTGGTTTTTTCGAGATAGGGTTTCCCTGTGGCTTTGGAGGCTGTCCTGGAACTCACTTGGTAGACCTTGGTCTCGAACTCACAGTGATTCCCCTGCCTCTGCCTCCCGAGTGCTGGGATTAAAGGCGTGTGCCACCACTGCCCGGCTTCTTTTACTCTTAAAACAAATTGTTTTCAGATTTGTTTATCCTTTATGTGTGTGAATGGTTTACCTTTGTCATGTGCATGCCTGATGCCCTCAGGTCAGAAGAGGATGTTGGGTCCCCTAGAATTCAACTTAAAGATGGCTGTGAGTTGCTGTGCGAGTGCTAGGAATCGAACTCCTGTCTTCTGCATGAACAACAAATGTTCTTAACCACCGAGCCATCTCTCCAGTCCCCCATCTTTTACTCGTATTTAAAATGTCTGGGCTGGCAGAGTGGCTCAGGTATTAAGGTGCTTGGTGAAGTGGTTATCGAGATGGCTCTGCTGTCAAGGGAGCTTGCTGCTTTTCCAGAGGATTTGTGTTGGGTTCCAGTACCTGTGTGTGGCAGAGTTCACAACTGCCAGTTCCAGAGATCCATTGCCCTCCATGAGCCTGGGCACACATATGGTATGTATTCACAGACACATATACATTTGGCAGAGGCGGTCCATTTATAGAGGTAGGTAGGTGGATCTCTGTGAGTTTGAGGTTAGCATAGTCTACAGAGCAAGTTCCAAAATAGACAGGGCTACAAAGAAAAACCCTGTCTCAACAACTTTAAGAAGTGTTTGTATAGCCTCCAAAACAATACAGAGAAGCCCTGTCTCGAAAAACCAAAAAAAGAAAAAAAAAATGTTTGCTTCAGCTGGGTGTTGGTGGCACACGCCTTTAATCCCAGCACTTGGGAGGCAGAGGCAGGCGGATCTCTGTGAGTTCAAGAGCAGCCTGGTCTACAGAGCACCAGGACAGCCTCAAAAACAATACAGAGAAACCCTGTCTGGAAAAAACAAACAAAAAAACAAGTGTTTGTCTCATAGGCATCATCACCCGAGTTTGATCCCTAGAATGCACACTGAAAGGAAAGAAGCTAACAGCTGTTCTTTACCTCCACACGTGTCTTATGCACACAATAACACACTTACACGTCATAAACAACAGTAATAACATTTCAAAGCTGAATGTGGTACGACACACTTGTAGTCCTGTCACTTGTAGGGGAATCAGGAGTTTGAGGCCAGCTTGGCTCTATAGTAAGAACTTGTCTGAAGTAACACAATTTTCTGGGATATAATTTTAGCTAGAAAGTTTATTTCTGTGTCAAAACTTGCTTTGATCCTATCCCCAAAGAAGAAATAAAATCACAAATATACGACAGAAGTACTTGAGGTGTCCTGCCGTATAAGCAAATTTGGCCTTTATGGACAGATCTAGGGTATCCTGAGTTAGGATTCTTGTGTAATTGAAAGTGTCCAGTTTACATCTCATCTGCATGCAACATTCCCCTGCTCTGCCCAGTGGGTCCAGCCTTAGTTCCCAGCTTTAACTGTGTCTTTGTTGAGCCGTTTGCAGTTGGGACTTCAGGTAGTGCCTTCAGTTTGGACTTTGCGGCTGGGATCTCTGGGCTTTCTGTCATGTCCTTATGAGTCAGGATATTTCTGGAAATCACTGAGGAGAAAGTGTAGTGGTATAGCATTTGCTTGGGTAGGAGACTAGCCAAGAACATTCCTATTTGATTGTTTTAGAGAATAGTTTTCTGGTTCATGGGGGTAAGGTGGGGTGGCTTCTATGCCCTTGCCTCTTACCTCCATGAGGCTGGTAACCTTTAGGCCTGGCTTCTGGTTGACCCTGAAAGGGACTGAAGCTGGGCAGGATGATGAGAGCCAGCGAAAAAAGAAGAATCTGAAAGGAGCAAGAAGGCATTTGAGCTTTGGGGACAGCAGAGGAGGAAGGCAGCATTAGCAGAGGGTCTCTACAGTTATCAGGGTTTGGAAAACCGGGCTGGGCAGTGGGGTGTTAAGTGGAAGTGTGCAGGATGGCAGAGGTGTGGGGACAGAGATGGTACCAGAACACAGGTACTGGTCTGGGCAGCTCTGCTGGAGGTCTGAGCAGTGAGCTTCTGTAACTGGAGGACCTGTGCAACCAAGGAGCTGGGAGAAGAACGGGGAGTCAGCCCAAGGACAGCTTGCCTGTGGCTGCATCCTCCCTCTCCTCCCTCTGGACACCGCTTCCACTCACGTGTTCTGCCTCTCGAGCTCCTGGACTTTTCTCTGTAGCTCCTGATTCTGTGAAGAACAGGCTGCCACTCTAGGGAGTATGGAGAAGCAGAGACGGCTTAGGAGGTGGTCCCTTAACATGCTTGCCCAGGTGAGGAAGGGGGCCCAGACACTCACAGGATGCAGAAAGGTGAGCCCAAACATACCTGCTCTCCAGCCCATCTATGTATTCTTTCTTCCGCCGCCGGCTGTCCTGAGCTGACTGTTTGTTGCGGATTTTCCTCCTGATCTTCTTGAGTACTCGCTCCTCTGCCTGGAGGACCAGGGTGTTCAGTGCTGGATCCTTAGCCTCCCACAACTCCCCAACATCGTCTGCAGTCCAGGTTCTTTAGAGGTGGGATGGAGCACCCTTTGGGGGCAGTTGTTACCTTAGTGAGGGGCAGGTGAGAGGGCAGAGAAACCCCTTCTTGTCCCAGCAGATGCTTCTCTTCATCTGTAAGGAACAGGCGCTGGCAGGACAGCTGGGCGGAGTGGCGGAAGATGAGCAGGATGGAGGTCACCTGCTTCCAGCACCCAGGCTGCCCATCCAGCCCCAGCCCACCCCCAGCCTGCTCTTAGGAGAGGGCTTTCTGCTTGCACTGAGTGGTGAAGTGAGGTCAGGGGCAGAAAGTTCATTCAGCAGGCTCTGTGACATGCCAATGGGCCTTCCTGAAGCTGAGGAGGGAGAGTGAGGTTTCTGTCCACACACGCGGAATCTTGACATTATGGCCAAGTTAGAGAGGGCCTGCTCTGGTCTGTCTTTTAGCTCTCAGGGCACTCGGAAGAGAACTTGTATGATCACTATGGTGGACTTTGTTGAATTTCCTTAACAGGCAAACAATTTGGCCATTAACTTTCATCTGGTAAAATATTTGATTGCACACCTTTAATCCCAGCACTCGGGAGGCAGAGGCAGGCGGATCTCTGTGAGTTCGAGGCCAGCCTGGTCTACAGAGCGAGTGCCAGGACAGTCTCCAAAACAATACAGAGAAACCCTGACTTGAAAAACAAAACAACAACAAAAAAAAATTGACTGCCTGTCAACCACAGGGACATATGACTCATCATGTGACCCCAGGTTCTAAACTGCACCTGTCAGGTCAAGCTGCCCACTCTCAGACAAGGAGTTTTATTTATTTATTTATTTGCTTTTTTTTTTTTTTTTTTTTTTTTTTTGGTTTTTTGAGACAGGGTTTCTTTGCAGCTTTTAGAGTCTATCCTGGAACTAGCTCTGTAGACCAGGCTGGCCTCAAACTCACAGGGATCCGCCTGCCTCTGCCTCCTGAGTGCTGGGACTAAAGGTGTGCGCCACCAACGCCTGACTAGACAAGGAGTTTCTCAGAGCAGCCAGGCTGACTTCGCAGGTGAAACGTATGGGATGCATAGATGGTGTCTGGTTAAGCTGAGCCCATCGGCTGAGGACCTTCTACTGCCATTTCGTTTGTTGTGTGCGTGTCTTTGTGTTGGTCTATGTGGGTATGCTTGTGTCACAGAGCATGCGTGGAAGTCAAAAGATAATTTTCAGGACTGAGCTTTTTTCCACCATGTAGGGTCTTGGGATCAAACTGAAGTGGAAAGGCTTGGCAGTTAGTGCCTTTATCCAATAAGCCATCTTGCTGATCCTAGTATTTCTTTTTGAAAGATTTTTACTTTGAAACTTTTCTTTGAGGGGTTGGTTTTTAGAGACAGGGTCTCTCTGTGTCGTCCTTGCTGTCCTGTAACTTGCTCTGTAGACCAGGCTGGCCTTGAACTCAAGAGATCAGCCTGGCCGGGCGTTGGTGGCGCACGCCTTTAATCCCAGCACTTGGGAGGCAGAGGCAGGCGGATCTCTGTGAGTTCGAGACCAGCCTGGACTACCAAGCAAGTTCCAGGACAGCCTCTAAAGCCACAGAGAAACCCTGTCTCGAAAAACCAAAAAAAAAAAAAAAAAAAAAACCAAAAAAAAAAAAAAAAAAGAGATCAGCCTGCCTCTGCCTCCCAAGTAAGGGATGTATTACCATATATGACAATTTTTTTAATGTTTCAGGGTTTTGTTATTATTTTTTATTTTATGTGTGTGAGTGTTTGCTTGCATGCCTGGTGCTCACAGAGGCCAGAAGATGTCGGATCCCTTGGAACTGGAGTTACAGACAATTGTGAGCTGGGACTTGAATTTGGGTCCCCTGTCAAAGCAGCCAGTGCTCTTAATCACTGGGCCACAATGTAGACCAGGCTAGCTTGCAATCTGTGGTACTCTTCCTGCCTCTGCCTCCCATATGCAGAGATTTTAAGTATGTGTCACCACACCCAGCTTATGCTTCACTTTGTAATTTAAGAATAACTTCGGGCCGGGCGATGGTGGCGCACGCCTTTAATCCCAGCACTTGGGAGGCAGAAGCAGGCAGATCTCTGTGAGTTCGAGGCCAGCCTGGTCTACAAGAGCTAGTTCTAGGACAGGCTCCAAAACAATTCAGAGAAACCCTGTCTCGAAAAACCAAAAAAACAAACAAACAAAAAAGAATAACTTCGCTTGTAGCTGGTAAGATGGTTCAGCAGATAAAGCACTCAGGCTGACAGTCTGAGTTTAATCCCTGGAACCCACGTAAAGGTGGAAGGAGGGAATCAGTGCTACAAACTTGTCCTCTGACCTCCATATAAGCCATGGCTTACTTGCACTGTCCTTCTCCCTCACATAATAAGAAGTAACTTTAAGAGAATAACTTAGTCTGGCTTTTTATTGTGTGTGTTTGTATGTGTGTGTGAGAAAGAGAGACAGAGAGATGTAGTGGTACATGTGTGTCCAGGTATGGCACATGTGACCAGAGGCCAAAGGAGTAATCCAGGGTTCTGCTCCACCTTATTCCTTTGAGACTGCATTTCTTACTAACCCTGGAGCTAGACTGGTGATCAGCAAACCTCAGTGACCCTCTTATTCTAAGCCCTCAGAGCAAGGGCCTTAAGGGAGTATGTAGCTATTTACGTGGGTGCTGGGATCTGAACTCCAGCTCAGCTCCTCATGCTCATATAGCAAGTGCTCCTCATGCTCACATAGCAAGTGCTCCTCGTGCTCACATAGCAAGTGCTCCTCATGCTCACATAGCAAGTGCTCCTCATGCTCACATAGCAAGTGCTCCTCGTGCTCACATAGCAAGTGCTCCTCATGCTCACATAGCAAGTGCTCCTCATGCTCACATAGCAAGTGCTCCTCATGCTCACATAGCAAGTGCTCCTCATGCTCACATAGCAAGTGCTCCTCGTGCTCACATAGCAAGTGCTCCTCATGCTCACATAGCAAGTGCTCCTCATGCTCACATAGCAAGTGCTCCTCATGCTCACATAGCAAGTGCTCCTCGTGCTCACATAGCAAGTGCTCCTCGTGCTCACATAGCAAGTGCTCCTCGTGCTCACATAGCAAGTGCTCCTCGTGCTCACATAGCAAGTGCTCCTCGTGCTCACATAGCAAGTGCTCCTTATGCTCACATAGCAAGTGCTCCTCATGCTCACATAGCAAGTGCTCCTCGTGCTCACATAGCAAGTGTTCCTCGTGCTCACATAGCAAGTGCTCCTCATGCTCACATAGCAAGTGCTCCTCACTGACTCATCTCTCAGCCTCTGGCTTTTGCTTTTTGATGGCCTCTGGCTCTTAACTAAACCATTTCCTAACTTCTTTCGGATGTCTTCTTTTTTTCTCCAAGCACTTTAGTGGGGAGTTTCTCCCAATCTCTCTAACTGAAATCTCTGAAAATGGAGCACAGAGGACTTTATCTAAAAGTAAAACAACCACAAATCCTGTGCTGATATGCAAACCTTTAGCATGGCTTCTGGTCCCAGCTTCAAGCACATTTTTACAGGACAGCTAGGACCTGTTCTCTGCCTTCAGACCCAGGCAAGGCATACATCCCAGGGCAGAGAGAGGAATATGGCCTAAGCTTGGCCTCTCTTGGTCAAGCGTCTAGCCCACCTGGGGGAGGAACATGATAGGGTACCCCACACATCACTGCAGCACTGGCCTCAGGACAATTGTTCTAGTGCAAACACTTGCTACTGTTTCTCTGTCACCCTGTCCTCCTTGTCCAGGTGGATTCCCAGGGGTCCCGTCCCGATTCCCTTTCCTGAGTCAGAGAGCAGCTCTGAATGACTGAATGCAGATGCACACTAGCTCTGGGCTCTGGCTGCAGTGCTCTCACCCCACCTGCAGTTAAGTAAGTCATTACCACGCTGGCCCCCAAGAGCTCTCTTCCCCATGCTCTCCTGCTCTTAGAGTGGCTTGTTTCTCCTGGGCCTTCAAACCACCACCAAAAGTGGGGCACACCAGTTCCTCATTAGCTTCCCCTCCCTTTCCCGTGCACTCCCATTTCTGTGTCCCCGGGGAACACCAGCTCTAGCTGGTCTCAGGACTCACCAGGGCAGCAGGAGGTGCTGGGGCTGCGGTGCTGGTTCTTGGCAGGATGTGTCTCGGAGCATCTGAGGACAGCCCGCTGACTGTGCAGGTACCAGGCACCATAAACGCAGGACTCCACTGATCTGAAGAAGACAGACTGGGGTGAAGGGGTCAGGAGATGGTGATGACAGCAGGGCGGGGGCAGTGGCACAGTAGAACCTTCTCCCTTAGACCACATGGTCAGGCTGGGCATGAAAAGGCCATTGCCTTCTTTCCAAAAAGAACACTGACCTATCTGGATGGAGATGAGTCCGAAGGTTGGCCCTGCTTCCCGCTGAGTACGCTGCAAGGCCCCTGCCTCATAGACAACCTCATAGAGGGCAGGGGTACCGGGTGCCTGTGGGGCTGGGGAGCTAGGGTCTTCAGAGACACCGTTGTCACTACCAGGAGATGTTTCTGAGCAGTATACCATATTGGGATCAATGAAGAGGTTCAGGAAGTCATCAGGCTCGCTCTTCTGAAGGCCCTAGATAGAAGGAGGTATGAGTGTCTGAAGAAGAATTTTGAAAGTCCTACCTGATGTCAGTCATACATCCTATGTGCTTTGATTTTGGTGGTTTTCCTTCTTGGACCTAGAAATCGTTACAGGTCGTGTCTGTTTTGTGGGCTCTGTTACCAGATCTCTTTCCTTGTGGGAACTGAAGCCTCTCAGGCTTCCAGTCAGAGTTGTCTGACCCTCACCCCACTTCCATTCACCAGACTCCCTCAGCCTCAGCCCCACTGGTCTCCCAGCCCTGCAGCCCTGCTCTTGAAGCCATGAGAACCTTAGATGGAGGACTGTTGAGTCCCAGCTCCAGGAAGGATCCTGTTGAGAAGATATCTTCCGGGGGCTCCAGCAACTCAGGGCACCCGGGCTCCATGCTTCTGTGGGAAGGTAGTGGAATAGTTACAGAAGGCAGGAGGCGGTTTGTTGCTTATACACGATAAAGAAGTCTTTTGCCATGTTCCCCTTTTGGCTGGGGTACTTAAGAACGTTGAAGAATAAACTTGGAGCGTCCATTATTCACTGGATTGCCCTCCTGACTCTAAAAACAAACAAACAAACAGAAGAAAACAACAAAAAAAGAAGTCCTCACGGCTTCTGGCTCCCCCGAATTCCCCTCTGCTCACATGCAGCAGCCCCTCGAAAGAAAATCCACTTCAGGCCTTATCTTTATATAAATAGCCCCCTTGGGTATTACCTGTTTTTGTTCGGAGAGCTTTACCTTGCCAAACCAACCGAGCCCGCTGAAGGCCCAAACACTACACCTTTTCTTTCCTCCAGGATCTTGTATCCTGGTCCTGCCCAGTCAAGCCCCGCCTATGCAGTCCATGGAGTTTGGGGGTGGGGTGGGGCTGGGTTGCACCTGACCAGGAGCCACTGTCTGGGCCTGCATCTGGGGGTAGGATTAAGGCGCTGCCCATATGCAAACTGAAATAAAACAATAGGTACCCCCCGCCCTTTCTGTCAGTTTCCCCAGTGCTAGTAGATACTGCTGAGAGCTTGGTGTCTCCTCAGCGAAGAGCTGAGGGGGCAGTGACCAGCACACGGGATACCTGAGCGCTCCATTTCGAAGTCACAGTCTTTACAAGAGGCAAACCATCTCAGGGGAGAAAACCAAGCTAATTTTTGGAGGCTCCCCCGCCCGGTCCACCCCCCCTAACCGCGTGGCACTCTTCCACTCGTGAATCCTAATTGGACGTTGAAGACTTAGGGCAGGGCTTCCAGCCAATGGCGGACTACCTCGAGGCCCACGCCCTCGCGATTGGCAACAATAGACCAACAGAGAGGGGTCGCAGAAGTAATTTGGCAGAGGCTCCGGGTTCCATCGAGAAGCCACTGTAGGAAAGTTGAGTGAAAACTTCCGGGTTGAGGGTAGGAGCCGCTGGGTTTGAGTTTGTTTATCTTGTGATTCCGAGGTTCCAAGTTATTACTTTCGCAGACAGCAAATAACATGTAGCCTGTGGACCAGGCCTCCACCAGTTGCGCAATCGCGGCTATGTGGATCTGAGAACGACGCCCCACCATTGCAGCACTGTCGGGGCCCTGCGAACCCACGCAGGGACACAGAGCAGGAAAACTGCCACGCATCATCCAAACGTTTGCTTTTGGCTTGAGGTCTTATTATTTCCATAAAACTACCAGTTATATGTTTAGTTTTGCGTTTTGAAATGGGAGTGAGGAAGTCACATTGCTCAGGGTGGCCTCCTGATGCTGGGGGGTGGGGGGATGGAGCTTGAAGGCTGTTTGAGAGCTTGGTGTGGGTGTTCACGCCTGCAATCTCAGTGCTTAAGAGGAAGGTGATACAGGAGTGTCCCTGAGGTTGAGGACAGCCTGGGCTGCATAAGATCCTGTCTCAAAAACAAAAACAGTAACAAAATGCAAGAACAGTGTATCTAGTGATACGTCCAATAAATTCTATTTGTCCTCACATCACCCTTAAAGCTGACTTCTTAGGAACAGGACCTATGAGATGGTAGAACAATATAAAAGGAGAATTGAGGGATCTGGGTGAGGAGTGGGCTTGAATTTAAAACTGTTACACATGGAAGTTATTTAGCAGGAACCACCAGTGCGTGCACAGTACACACAGCATGCTACAGAAACCTTTGGATGTGTCCCTGCCCTCCAGTCTTCAGGTATGAGGGTTTGGTTCACATTTGTTAACTTTGTTACATGGGCCATCTCCTGACAAGTTGTGAGATCTTGTTTGTATTTTGTTTGAGAAAGGGTCTCACTGTGTCTTCCTGGCTTGTTTATTTGTCCAGGCAGGGTCTCACTGAACTTGTGTTTTCTTTTCCTTCCTTCTCTTCCTATGAGGGCAGGCAATCACAGGGTTGGAGGGGAGAGGGATCCCATGCCCCTGCCCAGCTATGGAGGCCGGAGGACAGCAACAAGGAGTCCGCTCTCTCTCATGATCCTGTGGCTTGGGGCTGGTCAGTTTAGGTGGTTTTACCCACTTAGCTATGCTGCCATCTATCTATCGTTTTCTACTTGTTTATTTGGTTCTTTTTGTTTGTTTGTTTGTTTGTTTTTTTGTCTTTCGTTTTGAGACAGGGTTTCTTTGTGGCTTAGGTCTTACTCTGTTACCAAAGGTAGCCTCATTTTGAAAATTCTCCTGCTTCAGCCTCCCAAGTGCTGGAATGTAAGGAGTGAGTCGCCACACCTATCTGAGGAATTTGTTTTCGACAGTATTGTCTGTCTCTGTCACGCGATGAGCAACAGCTCTCAGGTTCACGGAGCAGAGAATATTTTGTCAGTTTGGCTGATAAAGTGTCAGGTACTCTGGCTAAAAAATAGTAATTTCAAAATGTCGGGGTTTATTTGGCCTTGATCTAGGGTCTGATGGCACAGGAGTGCACCTCAAGTGAAACTACGCTAACACAGGTGAATCCTCTGAAATTATGCTTACAGAAGTATGAATCCTGTGAACCTTCCTCTCAGCGCAGAAAAATCTGGGAGGTGCATCCAGAATGTGCTAATTTTCCTTATGAATATTTGACTAAGTCATTGGTACAAACTGGAAAGGAACTGGCAGAAATCAACAGCTAGAGCAACTATGATGTATAAGCATTTTCACATCTCATATTGGTCTCATAGCAACCCAGAGAGGACAAGTTAGCTTCTTTAAGATTACTCTGGGGGAGCCGGGCGTTGGTGGCGCACGCACGCCTTTAATCCCAGCACTCGGGAGGCAGAGGCAGGCGGATCTCTGTGAGTTCGAGGCCAGCCTGGTCTACAAGAGCTAGTTCCAGGACAGCCTCCAAAGCCACAGGGAAACCCTGTCTCGAAAAACCAAAAAAATAAAAAGATTACTCTGGGGGGCTGGAGAGATGGTTCAGAGCTTAAGAGCACTGACCACTCTTCCTGATGTCCTGAGTTCAATTCCCAGCAACCTCATGGTGGCTCACGTGGGATCTGATTCTCTCTTCTGATAAAGGTGTGCACAGATCAAGTACTCATAAGCACAAATAAATAAATAAATAAATCTTAAAAAAAAAAGATTACTCTGTACTCCAGTCTGGTGGCCATGCCTTTAATCCCAGCACTAGGGGAAGCAGAGGCAGATGGATCTCTGTGAGTTCCAGACTAGCCTGGGTTACATATTGAGTTCTAGGACAATAAGGACCATATAGGGAGATCTTTTCTCAAGAAAGAAAAGAAAGAAAAGATATTGATGTCTGAACCAACATTGACTTTTTTTTTGTTTTTTGTTTTGAGACAGGGTTTCTCTGTGTAATAGCCTTGGCTGTTCTGGGATTCACTTTGTAGACCAGGCTGGCCTTAAACATGCATACGTCTGACTCCTCTGTTTCCCTGATGCTGGGATTAAAGGCCTGTGCCACCATGGCCTGGTTGCCATTCTTTTTTTTTTTCCCCCAAGACATGGCTTTGAAGCCTGTCCTGGGACTTGCTCTGTAGACCAGTCTGGCCTCGAACTCACATAACTCACAAAGATCTGCCTGCCTCTGCCTCCCAAGGGCTTAAAGGACTGCACCACTACTGCTAGGTCCTGGCTTAACATTCTTTTTTTTTTTTTTTTTTTTGGTTTTTCGAGACAGGGTTTCTCTGTGGCTTTGGAGGCTGTCCTGGAACTAACTCTTGTAGACCAGGCTGGCCTCGAACTCACAGAGATCCACCTGCTTCTGCCTCCCAAGTGCTGGGGGCTTAACATTCTTTAAAAATTTTTTTTTGTTTTGATTTTTTAGAGGATTACACTGTGGGGCCCTGTCTGGCTGGCCCTAAACGTGCAGAGATCTGTCTGTCTCTGAGTCTAGAATACTAGGATTGAAGGCATGTGTCTCCATACCCCATCCAAGATTTATTTTTTTAATTGTGTGTGTACATAAACGTCAGATCACCTGGAGCCGGAGTTACAGGTGGTTGTGAGCCCCCCCCGTGGGAACTGACACCTGAACTCAGGTCCTTTCTAAGAGCAAGAAGCACTCTTATCCTCTCCAGCCCCAAATATAAGCCAAGCTGCCTGGCTGGGCTTTCTTGAATTTCCTAAGCCTGTCTCTCCTGCTCCTGCAGTAGCTTGATGAAAGCAGATTGCTTGGGTTACTGCAGGGCACAGAAAAAAGCAGAATTATTTTTGTTGACTTCTTTGGAGCCCAAGAAAGGTGGTTAAATGCACTTCAGGGGGCTTTCCAGCTGGCTGCTACATGCAGGGGTGATGGAATGGGAAAGAGTCAGCTGCTGTTTGCGCAAGACCTGGGAGGAACTTCTGCTTCATCTCCCTTCGCTTCCCTCTTCTCCCCCATGGACCAAGTTTTGCAGAGGAAAAAAGTAACTTCTTGGTCCCGTGTCAGATGAAGGTAAAGATCAGCAGATCTGCTGTTTAACGGGGTGACTAGAGCCAGTAATGATGGATGTGTTTGTTGTCCAGCTCAAAATCATTGCGCGGGTGTTGGGTGTTCTTCCCTGGGAGATCCTCCCACTCTCAGGAATTCTGCCCAACTTTCCCTTAATCTAGCTATGTTTGATCTACTTGAAATCAATTGCTCAAAGTGCATTTTAAGAGTTCTCATTATAAATTAATATAAGTTGATTAGCTTGAGCTAGCCATTTTGCAATATGTAGATATACAAACACCATATATTTCCAAGTATTGTGTTGTATACCATAAATACATTTTTTGTTTTGTTTTGTTTTCAAGAGGGAGTTTCTCGCCAGGCGGTGGTGGCGCAAGCCTTTAATCCCAGCACTCGGGAGGCAGAGGCAGGCGGATCTCTGTGAGTTCGAGGCCAGCCTGGTCTACAAAGTGAGTTCCAGGACAGCATCCAAAGCCACAGAGAAACCCTGTCTCGAAAAACCAAAAAAAAAAAAAAAAAAAAAAAAAGAGGGAGTTTCTCTGTGTATCCCTAGCTGACCTGGAACTCACTCTGTAGACCAGGCTGGCCTCAAATTCACAGATATCTGCCTGCCTCTGCCTCCTGAGTGCTGGGATTAAAGGCATGTGCCACCACTGTGAGACCAATACAAATTTTATTTGACTTTCTTTTGTGCGGGTGGGGGGGTGTTGAGACAGGGTTTCTCTGGGTAGCACTGGGTGTTCTGGAAATTGATCTGTGAACCAGGATGGCATCAAACTTACAGAGATCCACCTGCCCCTGCCTCTGCAGTACTGGGATAAAAGGCATGTGACATCAACACTTGGCACATTTAACTTTCAAGTAAAATTTGGGCAGCATTTGGGAGGCAGAGGCAGGTAGATCTCTGTGAGTTCAAGACCAACCTGGTCTACAAGAGCTAGTTTCAGGACTGGCTGTGAAACTACACAGAGAAACGTGTCTCGAAAAACCTAAATAAATAAATAAATAATAAAAAATGAAAACAAATAAATAAAATTTGTGGCTGGAGAAATGGCTCAGTGGTTAAGATCACTGTTTGCTCTTCCGAAGGACCCTGGTTTCATCCCACCTCCCATATGGCAGCTCACAAATGTCTGTAAACCCAGTTCCAGGGGTTCTGACACCTTCTTCTGCACTCTGCAGGCATTGCATTTACATGCTGCATCGATATACATGCAGGCAAAACACCTATACACATAAAATACCTAAATAAAATTACTTTTAGTTTTGTGTAGGTGTGTCTGTCTGCATGTGGGTATGTGCACATGCGTGTACAGAGGTCAGAGGTGTTGAATGCCCTGGAGCAGGGGTTGTAGACTGATTTGATTGCTGAAAATCAAATTTGGGTTCTCTGGAAGGACAGAAAACGCTCTTAAATATTGAGGTGCTATCTCTCCAGTCTCCTATTCAACTTTTAAAAGATTTATTTTATGTTAAATGATGTGTACATGCCTGTGTGGGTAAGTACACAGCCAACAGGAGGTCAGGTTCCTTTGCTCCCTGTGGAACCAAGGTTACAAGCAGTTGTGAGCTGCGAGGCATGTGTGCTGGTGCTGGGCAAGGTACTGCAAAGAGGCCCAAGCTGGCCTTGAACTCAGATTTTCACTTGTTTCTAGTGTGTGTGTGTGTGTGTGTGTGTCTGTCTGTCTGTCTGTCTGTTTTGCCACTGGACACATATGTGGAAGTCAGAGGATAATTTGTGGGAGTTGGACCTCTTCTTCTACCTTCTTAGTTGGGGACGGGTGGAATTCAATTAAAAACCTTAGGCTTGATGCCAAATCCCTGTAACAGCTGAGCCATCTCCTCATCGGCTCAGAAGGGGATTCATAGAACATGTGTTGTGGGATCGAGAGAACTGAGCAAACAGTGAAGGTATGGAGAGAAAAATACAATGGTGAGCGGGCACCGTGGTACATGCAGTTATCTCAGCACTTGGGAGGCTGAGGCATGATTGTTCTGAGCTGGGAACAGTTTGGCCACATAGTGATTTGCAGGCCAGTGTGAACTTTAAAGTGTGAAATCTAAGACAATAAATAAATAAGCAGAAGAAACAAAGAAAAGAGAGAAAACACTGTGCATGCAAGGAACAGAAAACAGATCTTTAGGACTAGGGGGTGGGAGAGCTGGAGAACACAAAATGAAGTTGGAGAAAATCTTGGCACGATGCCCAAAGGCATGATCAATAGGAAATTGACGTATGCTACTTGATGGGGTTTCGGCAACTCCTAAACTCAGTCCCAAAATTTCTCTGCAGACTCTGGGGAGGCAGGAGGCTGCTTAGAAGTCAAATGGGCCTTAGGCAGTCTAGAAAGGATTGTTTTATTTATTTATTTTAGTTAATTAATTTTTAGAAAGGATCGCTTTTAAATCATGCCCCCATTCTTTCCCAATTCTGTCTCATCTTTTTTTGTGGGGGCTGGCTAGGCAAGCCAGGCAAAGACATTTGTCCCAAAAAGGTAATGATCCCCTCTGGCCCAGTTAAGCACTAATGCACTATTAAGAGTCGGGGCCAAGGCCAGACAGATATCTTAAGAGATGTGGGGAGAGATACTTGAGAGTAAGGATAACAGGCCTTGCTCGCAGAGTTCCCACTTTTATCAAAGTCTCTGTGACTGGCCGGCTCTGGCGGCCAGCTCCTCCGAAGATGTGTGCCAGACCCACCGCCCTCGGGTCTTCCCGCTAGTCCCCTCCCGGCTTTGGCTCGGTCTCAGCTCGCCGCCCGCCTAGCCCTCTCCTGTTCCCAGATTCTAATTGCTCTTAACGCATGTCACTCCAGGATAGGCTCCTCCCACCGAGTGCAGTCATTGGCAGCCTGGTGCGGGTACGCGGAGGCGGTGGGGGGGGAGGGGAGAGGGGAGGGGAGGGGGCGGGAATTCCCGACGCGAGGCCGGAACCCAGCGTCTGCGATGGAGCGAGACCCTCGGGAGGTGAGTGCGGCCTCCCTGGGCTCGGGGGTCTAAGTCAGCTTCTAAGGCCTCCCAGGCTAGGAGCTGGGGGTCTCCATTTTAACATTTTTCATCTGCGTCCTGCGACGCTGGCGACCTCTGACCTCGCCTTCGAGACTTCCAGACACCGCCCTCAGCTTGGTGTTAGCCTTAGCCAGTCCCAAGCCCCTCTCCTTTGGCTGTCTGCCCTTTGGCTACCTGTTATTTGGCTCTGGGGAGTGGACAGTGAGAGAGTCATCCAGCACCCAAGTTCGTCCAGTTTCAGATCGTCCGTGAAAGCACCCGGGACTTCTCTCCAAGCTCCAACCTCTTTGCTACACGCTCATGGTGGACTATGTGTGAGAGAGTGGTCTCTACCTTCGTTAGGGGGCTCCAGCTCCAGGTCTAACCTGGAGTCTGTTCCTAGTTTTTTGCGGACTCCAAGTGAAGGGGTAATGACATATCTATATTGGCCTTCTTGTGCCTCAGTTTCCTCCTTGGTGGCTCCCAGAACTGCGAGAGATAAATTCGAAGGAGGAAATGCAATGCCCCTGGTGTTGGAGTGGATGAGTCACCCCAGCTGGGAAAGGCCACAAAGTGTCTGGGCTGAGGGAAGGACATTCTGCTGACCAGCCTTCCCTTTTCCTTGACCCCCTTTTTCCTATGTGACCCTTCTCACCCATGCTGGTATTTTCTTTATAGGTCTGAGAGTCATTGATCCCACAGCCACCATGGGGCCCTGGGGGGAGCCAGAGCTCCTGGTGTGGCGCCCAGAAGCAATAGCTTCCGAGCCCTCGGTGCCAGTGGGGCTGGAGGTGAAGCTGGGGGCTCTGGTTCTGCTGCTGCTCTTGACGCTTGTCTGCAGCTTGGTGCCTGTGTGTGTGCTTCGAAGGCCAGGCGCTAGCCATGAAGCCTCCGGTGAGTCTCTGCTACTCTGGAGGTGGGAGGGGTAGCTGCGGAGGAGGGGAAGGCGGGGGTGGCCGCTGCTTCTGTTGGAGTGGGACTTTGCAGGGCTTTGAGTTGGTTATAACCCCCTTTGTACTTCACTCTTGCTCAGCCTCAGGCCAGAAAACCCTAAGCCTCGTAAGCTGCTTCGCAGGAGGCGTGTTTTTGGCTACCTGTCTTCTGGACCTGCTGCCTGACTACCTAGCTGCCATAGATGAGGCGTTGGCGGCTCTGCATGTGACGGTGAGCACTGACCTCAGCATGTGACCCACAGAATTGCTGGACTAGCTAATAGAAAACGCGGTTATAGCTTTAGGGCTCGCCCCATGACTGTGAGCTTGTGAGTTATGATTTCAGCGACAGGGCGGCATACATTTCTGTGCATTCTTTCCTGGGTACTGGGCCTGGTACGACCCCAGTGTACTCTTTCAGATAGTGTGAGGAACCTTGTCAGGTGTGGGAACCACTCTGGATTTTAGTTGCAGTTACCAGAAAGTTAACAATGTTCTAAGAATAGTGTTTCACCCATTGTCCCTTTGTCCCTCCTCTTCCTCCTCCCTTTTCGTTTTCTCCTTTTCCTTCTTTGAGATAGGTTCTCACTGTGTATTCCTGGCTGGCCTGGTACTTGTTATGTAGACTTTTTTTTTGGGTTTTCTGAGACAGGGTTTCTCTGTATTGTTTTGGAGCCTGTCCTGGAACAGGATATCAGGCTGGCCTTGAACTCACAGAGATCCACTTGCCTCTGCCTCCCGAGTGCTGGAACTAAAGGTGTGCACCACCGCCTGGCTTTGTTATGTAGACTTGCCTCAAATTTGCAGTGATCTTCCTGTCTCTGTGTCCCAAATGCCACTTCACGAAGAATATTTTCTTTCCTTTATACCTTACTTCATTTTTTCAGGGCAGGGTCTCGATTATGTAGCTCTGGCTGTCCTGGAACGCACTCTGTCGACCAGGCTGGCCTTGAACTCAGAGGTCCACCTGCCTCTGCCTCGCAAGTACTGGGGTTAAAAGAGTGTACCACCGGCCGGGCGTTGGTGGCGCACGCCTTTAATTCCAGCACTCGGGAGGCAGAGGCAGGCGGATCTCTGTGAGTTCCAGGACAGCCTCCAAAGCCACAGAGAAACCCTGTCTCCAAAAACCAAAAAAAAAAAAAAAAAAAAAAGGTGTACCACCACCTCCTGGCTAGATTTTTTTTTCATTTGCATAAATTGTGCATAGTAATTGGTTTGATTATTACATTTTCATACATAAGGTATCTTGACTATATTCACCCCATTCTTGACTCCCTCCCACTGATAGTCTTTCCAGCTACCAACTAGCCCCCACTTCTATTTCCTGTGTGTCTATGTGTGAGCATGTTACCTTGACCCCATGAGTTTAATTAGTGAGGGCTCCTTTCTCTCTCTCTCTCTCTCTCTCTCTCTCTCTCTCTCTCTCTCTCTGTCTCTGTCTCTCTCTCTCTCTCTCTCTCTTTCTGTGTAGTCCTGACTACTGAAGCTTTCAGTTCTCCTGTCTCAATTTTATGGATATAGTGTGAACTAGCACAGCTGGTGGTTTAGCATCCCTTGGAGGGCTGGAGACAGATCCCTGTAGATCAGGGAGGGTAGGAAGCCGTTTCCAGGGGTCTGGTGTTCTCAAGGAAGCAGGACAGGCATGGAAAACTCACTATAAAACTGGAAGCAGAAGTTTCAGCACTTGAAGGCTGAGGCAGGAGGATCATGAGGATTTTGAGGTCAACTTGGACTGTATAGTATTTTCCAGGCCTTTTGAGCTTCAGAGTGAGACCTGTCTCAACCCCCTCCCTGCTTCCCAAACAAAAATATCTCCCAAAAAACACAGTATAGGAAAACCTGAGGCAGATAGGTTCAGCACAGTCATCCCAAGTTCTTCTCTTTTTTCCCTGTGACTGAGGAAGTAGGAATCGCTGCCAACCTCTGTATATCTGTGACTGAGTGACCTGTGTCTCCATATGACTGCATGTCCCTGTGACATGTATGTGAACATTTGGAAAGATGGGCTCAAATGTGATCCTTTGTTTTATTTGGTTTTTCGAGACAGGATTTCTCTGTGGCTTTGGAGGCTGTCCTGAACTAGCTCTTGTAGACCAGGCTGGTCTTGAACTCACAGAAATCTGCCTGTCTCTGCCTCCTAAGTGCTGGGACTAACGGTGTGCATCTGTGTCCATGACCCTCAACCAGGGAAAATTTTTGCCCCTTAGGAAACACTAACTGGAGACAGTCTTGGTTGTCACAGCTTAGTGGTGTTGGTGGTGGTGATGCTGTGCTTGCTGATGACATCTGGTGGGTAGAAGTCAGAGGAGCTGCTCACTTAGTGTGTATGACAGTGATGACAGAATTATTTATCCCAAAACGTTATTAGCGCCAAGGTTGAGACACTTTGGTCTGCATTTAGTATGGTGTGATACCATTTCTGTCCCATATGTGTTGCTCTGTGTCAGTGGCACCAAATGACTTCATCACTGTGTGACCAGTAGGCAGTAGGGACCCTGGGCCTATGTGGGACTTCAGGTGTGTATGACTGGGCCTCTACCAGGCTCTGCGTCTGACTCCTTCCCGTTCTTGTCCTGTTTCCTGAACTCCTGTTGCCACCTTTGTCCACAGCTTCAGTTCCCTCTGCAAGAGTTCATCCTGGCCATGGGCTTCTTCCTGGTTTTGGTGATGGAGCAGATCACACTGGCTTACAAGGAGCAGTCCAGTCCACCACATCCGGAAGAGACCAGGGCTCTGCTGGGAACAGTGAATGGCGGGCCTCAACACTGGCACGATGGACCAGGGGTCCCCCAGGCCAGCGGAACTCCAGCAGCTCCCTCCGCCCTGCGTGCCTGTGTTCTGGTCTTCTCCCTAGCCTTGCACTCAGTGTTTGAGGGCCTGGCTGTGGGGCTGCAACGAGACAGGGCTCGGGCAATGGAGTTGTGCCTAGCTTTGCTGCTCCACAAGGGTATCCTGGCAGTCAGCCTGTCCCTGAGGCTGCTACAGAGCCACCTGCGGGTACAGGTGGTGGCTGGCTGTGGGATCCTCTTCTCATGTATGACACCTCTGGGTATTGGGCTGGGTGCAGCTCTGTCAGAGTCAGCTGGGCCTCTGCACCAGCTGGCCCAGTCTGTGCTGGAGGGCATGGCAGCTGGCACCTTCCTGTATATCACCTTCCTGGAGATCTTACCCCAGGAGCTGGCCACTTCCGAGCAGAGGATCCTCAAGGTCATCCTGCTCCTAGCAGGCTTTGCCCTGCTCACTGGCCTGCTCTTCATCCAAATCTAAGGTGCTTAAAGAGAAAAGGCAGGGGAGGCATCCTGTTAGGTGCCTCTGTCCTCTCTATCCTCTCTGTGCTTCCCAGTTTGTAGGAAGTAGAAAGGAAGTAGTGAGGACCAGTGAGTTCTCTGAGAGGTAGGGATGGAGCATTTGGACTATGAATCATGAGAGGGAAGAGGGCAGGTAGGAGGCTAGCTGCAGGCCCAAAGAGCAAGAAATAGCCAAGTCACTAGATCGGGCGGCATCAAGAATCAGACCAGGCACTACATCTAGAGGCACACTGACAGAAGAACTGGAGATAGGCATCCAGTGGCTTGGAGATAAGACGCAGAGGGTGTAAGTCAGTCAGTGCCCTGCTGGCTCCAGCCCATTTCAGCTCTCTGCCAGTTGAAGTGGATCCTCTTACTTTCTTCTGTGTCTCTTCTCTACCAAGGGACTAGTGCCAAATGGTCTCTTTGCCAGTTTTTATAATTTATCTGGCCTCGAGTGTCCTGCTCACTTTTGTTTGTTTGTTTGTTTTCTTTTCTTTTGAGACATGGCTTCTCTGTATATCCCTGGCCGTCCTGGCACTTGCTCTGTAGACCAGGCTGACCTCCAATTCAGAGGTTTGCATGCCTCTGCCTCACCAGTGCTGGAGTTATAGGGGTGCTATGCCACCACACCCACTCACACCTCTATTTTTAAAGTGCCAAACACCCACCTGCCCCCTCCTTTTTTAGTTGTTTTTTTTTTTTTTTCCCGAGACAGGGTTTCTCTGTGTAGCCCTGGCTGTCCTGGACCTAGCTCTGTAGACCAGGCTGGCTTTGCACTCACAGAGATCCGCCTGCCTCTGCCTCCTGAGCACTGGGATTAAAGGCGTGCGCCAACATGTATGGCTCACCTGCTCCTTCTCTCAAAGCACAGTTAGGTGGCCCTGGGCCCTGCCCAGCACCTCAGTGGAGACCTATTTGCTCGAAATTTGAGCCCCACAATTTGGGTGGGGCAGAAATGTTTGCTGAACTGAACTGCAGTAAAGAGAAAGTAGGTACAACTTTTGACACCAACCACTACAGAAGGTGCCCCATACCTAGATAATAAACATTGACCTGCCAAAACTTTTTATATCTGGGGGGGGGTGCAGATCTCCCGACCCCGCCCCAGGATTATTTTGGGGGAGGGAGGGCTGTGCATAGGGGCTTACTGTGTAGAATCTATTTTACTAACTGACCTGTTTTGGGACATGTTACCCAAATAAAAGATATTTCTATACCCCTGTACGGTACCTGGTTCATTTGGTGGGTGGGTGGGTGGGGTGTGTTGTGGCCAGCCTGAGAGGACCTGAATTCCAGATGCTTACACTTGCTTGTTTTCACTCGCCCCACTTGTCGCTTTTCCTGAGGATGACCAACTTTTTCTTTTGTCTCTTCCTTCTTCCCTTTCTGTCTCCACCCCTTCCCTTCCTCTCTGTTTTCTCCAGCTTCCTTTGCGAATCCTTTGCCCCTTCCCGTTCGTAGGCTAGGGACTGTGGTAGAACTACCTTTCCCGGCTTGCGGCGCCGCCGGGAGTAGGTGAGGGGTGGTGCGCGTGCCGGCCTCCCGGGGTCGGAAGGACTGCTGGGAAATAGAGTCCGCTTCCTCCCCTCGCTGCGTGGCTGCGGGCGCGGAGGAGGCCCGTAAACAAACTACAAGTCCCGGCAGGCAGTGCATTGCGGGTCAGGACTAGGCTGGGGCCGAGCCGCCGGGCTCGCGGAGGCAGCGGCGGCTGCTGCTACGGCTGGAGGAGCCGGGCCGGGCCCGCGGAGGCCGTGGCTGGAACTGGGAAGGTGGCGGGGAGGGACGCGGGCGTAAGATGGCGACGTCGGGGGCGAACGGGCCGGGCTCCGCTACAGCCTCAGCGTCCAATCCACGCAAGTTTAGTGAGAAGATCGCGCTGCAGAAGCAGCGTCAGGCCGAGGAGACGGCGGCCTTCGAGGAGGTGATGATGGACATCGGCTCCACACGGGTAAGGGGCCGTGCCGGGGTGCCCGAGCACAGAGGAGCGGTCGCCAAGCGGATAGGCGGGGCGGGGGCGGGAGCCGCTGGGCAGGAGGCGGAACGCGGCTGGGGCAGCGGGCGCCGCCGTCTGGGTGGCACGGGGTGAGGGCCGGTGGATCAGCTAAACGAATTTTGCCGGGAAGTCAGGAACACCGGAGAGATTGGGGGAGTAATAAAGACTGGGTTCGAGTTATTTACGTGTGAGGCAGGACTGGCGGAAGAGGGAAGATGGTCTGCCCAAGTCCAGCGCCCATGGAACGGTTCTTGTGCATCTCTGGCCGAGTCCTTTCCACTGAAGCATCCTCAGTTGTGGATTATGGGTTAGGAGCATAGTCTACTTGTTCCTAATCTGGCCCTTTGTGAGCTTGTGATAGCCAGAGTAGTGCTTGTGCTCTGTTGGGACACTGACGGCGTCTGGGTTCCTAAGGGAAAGGGCCTCTCGAGTGGTTTGATCTAGCTGTGCTGGGTATATTGGGACAGGAAGTCCCCTCCTGTGTCCCGTCCCTTTGCTTCCTTTTTCAAATATTTCGTGTGGTTTCCTGACTTGAGTCAAGGTGAGGACCATTGCTCACAGAATGGTTCCTGCTGTCTGGCCCTGGCCGCTTGGGAGGAAAGGTAAGGCTTTGAATCACCAAATTGGGTAAAGGATCACCTATATCAGCGGCGATGTGCAGAACTTTCTAGGGAGATGGTGCTACCTGTGAGTCAGTTTCTGGAGTGCTTTCTAGAGTCCGCTGTGTGTGGCAAATCTTCATTCCTAGGAAGTTCCACAAGGAATTTTCAGAATTCTGCCAAGTTGTTTTGGAAACAGCCCCCCTCACCACTCTTGGTTTCTTGCTTTCCAGAGCTAGATTGAGAGGGGTGGGGTGGGCTGGCAGGAGTTTGCAGGTAAGCAGCCCTAACTTAGGGACACGGTTAGTTTTAAAATTGAAGTGAAGATGCGGGAACATAAATAACCATGTTCCAAGGTCCTTTGGTTCTGTGTATGACTGTGACTGATTGTGTTTTGTGTGTATCTCCCTTGACTATTTGAGGTATGTGTGTGTGTGTGTGTCTGTCTGTGTCCTCTGGTTTTCTAGGAACCACATGCTCTAGTTTGTGGGAGTTCAGGAAAGATAAGTGGGGAGGCAAATCTGGTATGTATATGTGTGTCGTGCACACACTTGTATAACCTGCTCTTAGCCACCACGAGGATTATGAGCCCTTGACTGCTCCCTGTAACAGCTTTTGATCATAGTGGGGGTCAGAGACAAGCTGGAAGAGAGACTTATTTCCAGTGGAGAGCTTGAGGCTCTGTCCTCTGGACCGTGTGTCTGTCAGAACTTGTGTGTGCAAGCCAGAGCTGTGAGGAATGAAAAGCTGGGGCTTCTGTTTTGTGATGCTTCGGTTATCAAAGGCCTTTCTACCTACTTTTCTTCTGCTGATTAGCTTCCCTGATACACAGCAGCCTATAGTGAGCATACACGGCCAGAGCCGGAGATCCAAGGGTCTTGAGCTTGGAGTGCAATGCTTAGTTTGTTACCTGGGTAGCTGGGAAGGCATAGACCACCAGAGGACTTGAAGTCTCTGTCCATTAAGTCCAGAGCTCAGCATCTCCCACTGGAATCCCTGAGCCGGTCTGGAACAGAAAGTGGGTCTGATTAGTTCTGACTCTGAGCTCTCCAAATCCTCCCTTCCTTGGTTGCTCTCCCCGTTTCCATGCCCTTATCCCAGCTCTACTTATTTGGCTACAGTCAGTGTCTGAGCCTTGGAAGTAGCTACTTATCTCTCACATAGAGGGACATGAGATATATAGAGAGACTAAAACTATGGCCAGCTGAGGGTTATTTTGTCTCACTTCCTTAGCAGACATCTCAACAAACTGGCAGGAGAAGGACTAGGCTACTGTGTCCCCTCCTCCTCTGCCATCTTAGCGTTCAGTAGAAGAATACTTGGTTTGGGCACCTCTCTTTCAGCAGAAGAGTCCTCACTTTTCAGATTATATGGTTTGGGACGTGCAGACTCCATGCAGCCTGGTTCTAAAGCTGGAAAAGCAGCAGGTCCCAGAAACATCTGCTCCTCAGAGTGTGAAGGGAAGAGGCAGGCAATAATGAATCTTTGGCATCAATTCTGGCCTTCCCCTCATCTTCTAATTAGTCTTGGAGACATCTGGAAATGAAGGCAGAGGTGCCTAATAGGCTACCATCCTATGACTTGCCTCAGTGGGGATACCAACAGACAGAGACAGAGAAACAGGCCTTGCACAGTGTGAGGCCCTGCCTAGCAGGGTTCTGTCAGGCAGTCCAGAGCTCATTGGTTAGAGAGCAGCAGAAGAGCTGGTCATTTGTACCAGGTCTTCCTGATGTTTCCCACCACTGTCTTTGTACTGGCTGATAATCCTGAAAGCAGTCGTATATTCTGATGACAGAAATGACAAAGACGGCCGGGCGTTGGTGGCGCACACCTTTAATCCCAGCACTCGGGAGGCAGAGGCAGGTGGATCTCTGTGAGTTCGAGGCCAGCCTGGTCTACAGAGCGAGTTCCAGGACAAGCTCCAAAACAATACAGAGAAACCTTGTCTCGAAAAACAAAAAAGAAATGACAAAGATAAAAGAAATGACAAAGATGGCCAAAAGGAACAGTGCTCAGGACCTTCCCTGACATACCCGTTTGTGTCTTTTATCTCAGTTACAGGCCCAAAAACTGCGACTGGCTTATACAAGGAGCTCCCATTATGGTGGTTCTCTGCCCAATGTTAACCAGATTGGCTGTGGCCTGGCTGAGTTCCAGGTGAGTGGACACCAGCCAAGGAGTGTAGGCTGTTGGGCTACTCCCCCTGCTGATTCACCTGTCCTTTTTGGCAGAGCCCCCTCCATTCACCTTTGGATTCATCTCGGAGCACTAGGCACCATGGGTTGGTGGAACGGGTACAGCGAGACCCCCGCAGGATGGTGTCCCCGCTTCGCCGATACCCCCGCCACATATCCTTCACGAACGACTTCAGGGCCAGGGCAGAGAGGAAGGGGCTCCTTAGAGACTGGCGGTGGGAAGGAGCTCTCAGCTTTGTATGCTCGGTTTTGTCCTTGTCCAGTTCTTTTTCCCAGCCTTCTTGACTGTCAGCACAAGCTCCTGTGACAGACAGTTTGTGTTCTTGTGGCTGTGTCCTTTTTAGTGCTGGTCCTGGCTGGCCTTACTTCTGCTCACTTTATTGTAAAGCAGGGCTGCCTGTTACCTGGGAAGGAGATTTGGTTCCTTTTCCCATTCTGTTGTGAACTTGTTCCTAGAGACTGCTGTCCGCCATGTTTGTCTACCTAACCCTACCCAGGCATTTGCTTAGGTTGTTTCAGCTCTACTAAGCTTGGCCTGTTTTTGTTTTGTTTTCATTGTTTTGTTTTCTGAGGGGGTCTCTATGTAGTCCTGGTTGCCCTGGAGTTTGCTTGTGTAGACCAGGCTGACCTGTGTATACCAGATAGATAGATACCTGCTTGACTCTGCTTCCTGAGTGCTGAGATGAAAGATCAGCGCCAGCACCAGTCCTATTGTGTGTGTGCGTGTATGCATGTGTGTGTGCACGTGTGCGTGTGTGTAGGATGGTGGGGCGGTCATCCTGTAGTATGGGCTTTTCGCACGAGAGTGCTCCTCACTATGTATCTCTGACAGGCCTAGAGCTGAGAACTCCCATGCTTCAACCTGCCAACTGTTGAGATTACAGACATGAGCCACCAATACCCGACTTACTTGTGTAACTATCTGCTGCCTCCCTTATTTCTCCCATCCGTTCTCTCTCCTTTTTTCCTTAACCACAGCTATTTACATTGACAGTTCTCCCTATAGCCCTGCCTACTTGTCTCCTCCCCCGGAATCTGGCTGGCGAAGGTGAGTCCAGTGCAGGTGGAATTTCTCACCCATCTGGTGTTCTCGAGGGGCTGAGGTCGGCTAGGGATAGGTACTGGACTGAGTTTTCAGCAGTACCTCCTCTCCTAAGGGCCAAGCTGGGAGGGTGGGGCAGCTGGGTAGGTGGTCAGAGTCCAGTCTTGGCCATGTTGACACGAGTGGCCAAGCCTCCTAGTCCATGTAGCAGAACCAATGGAACTATAGCCAAGCTGGGCGTGTGTAAGTGAGGGGGAGGGGAGGATGGCTCCTTTCTCGTAGCAGTGGGTGCCGGGTGTAGTGCTGTAACTGTTAGATCTTTGAGCCCTCCTCTCTCTGTCTCAACTCCAATACTTGTATCCAGAGAACTTGCTAGGCTTAGCATTTCCACTCAGCTTATCTTGGCAGAGGCGTTTCTGTTTCCAGATCTCTTAGAGTGAGGAGGGATCACAGGCATTGGAAGAACCAGAAAGAAAGAGCATGATACTGTGTACCAAGGCCTTTTCATGATAGCCCTTGCTGCCATACATTGACCACCCCATGCCTTTCTTGTCCATTGCCAGCCACCTCCTTCCTCCTCATGACTTTTCTGTCCTAGGATGATGCCCTGGGGCACCCTCCCAGCTGAGAAGGGGCAGTTGTTTCGACTGCCATCTGCACTTAACAGGTGATGGTCCCTGACTTCTTTAGTCCGCATCTCTTTCCTGTACTCTCTGGGGGTCTACTCTACTTCCTCTTCTTTGCTAGCCCAGCTTCAATATCCCTCTGCTGGGCTGTTTGGTACCTAGAAGACTATTACTGCTACTCATCTCTGCTCTCCCAATAGGACGAGTTCTGACTCTGCTCTTCACACAAGTGTGATGAACCCCAACCCCCAAGACACTTATTCAGGCCCCACACCTCCCAGTGTCCTGCCCAGTCGCCGAGGAGGTAGGTGGTCCCAGGAAGTAGCCATGGAGCTTTTTACTAAAGCAGGCAAACATGTAGGCACTGCAACCAACTGCATTGCATCCTGTGCAGGTTTCCTGGATGGTGAGATAGATGCTAAAGGTATGTGCTCTTTATCAGTTGTGGGTAATGAAGGCCAAGTGTTGGGGACTTCGTATGGGGTCAAAGAATAGGAATTTCCTCTTGCTTGCCTCTGTTTCTTGTCCTGCCTACTGGCTCCTCCTCCAGCCTTCCCATCACCAGTCTTTCTCTTTCAAGTTCCTGCTATTGAGGAGAACTTGGTGGATGACAAGCATTTGCTGAAACCTTGGGATGCTAAGAAGGTAAGTAAGGGCCACTGGTTGTCTTCCAGTGTCCCTGGGACAGTCCTTCCAGGGTTCCTACTGAGATCTGTCCTTGTGTCTAAGCCTCTTCCTTCTGTCCTCAGATGTCCTCATCCTCTCGACCTCGGTCCTGTGAAGTCCCTGGAATTAAGTAAGTACCATTGCAGAGCCAGAGTGAAATTGAGGGAGGGAAGGACAGAGAGATGATTTTTGTTCCTCCCTGACCACTTTCTCTTTACATGTCTTCTGTTCCCTGTAGCATCTTTCCATCTCCTGACCAGCCTGCCAATGTGCCTATCCTCCCGCCTGCCATGAACACGGGGGGCTCCCTGCCTGACCTCACCAACCTGCACTTCCCCCCTCCGTTGCCCACTCCCTTGGACCCTGAAGAGACAGTCTACCCCAGCCTGAGCGGGGGCAACAGTACCTCCAATTTGACCCATACTATGACCCATTTGGGCATCAGTGGAGGTCTGGGTTTGGGACCCAGCTATGATGTACCAGGTAAGTGTCCTGTCTAGAAGGGTGAAGGGGAAGGAGGCTTGATCTGGGATCCCCTGACTGCCCACCAACCCCAGCACTGCGTACCCCCTCCTTGTAATCCTCATCTAGCAAGAATGGATAGGCCTGGCTTTTCCTAGGAAAAAGATGGAGATTAACCCCCAAATGGGTAGTGCCAGTCTCACTGTCAGGGACAGAGTAGGGAGGACCTTGTGTCGCCATAGTCTGGTCACTGCCACCCATTCTGGGTGGAAAGGGGCCCAGTTCCCATCAGTAATGTTGGCACCTCTGGTTTTTTGTCTGTGTCTGCAGGACTTCACTCACCTCTTAGCCACCCGTCCCTGCAGTCCTCCCTAAGTAATCCCAACCTCCAGGCTTCCCTCAACAGTCCTCAACCCCAGCTCCAGGGCTCCCATAGTCACCCATCACTGCCTGCCTCCTCCTTGGCCCACCACGCACTGCCCGCCGCCTCCCTGGGCCACCCGTCACTTAGTGCCCCAGCCCTCTCCTCCTCCTCTTCCTCTCCATCCACTTCATCTCCTGTCCTGAGCGCCCCCCCTTACCCAGCTTCTACTCCTGGGGCCTCTCCCCGCCACCGCCGTGTGCCCCTCAGCCCCCTGAGTTTGCCCGCGGGCCCAGCCGACGCCAGAAGGTCCCAACAGCAGCTGCCCAAACAGTTTTCGCCAACAATGTCACCCACCTTGTCTTCCATCACTCAGGTATGCGTGGCCACCTTCCCTCCATTTGTTTCCCTTCTTCTCCTTCCTGTCGCATCCATCCCCTTCCGTCCTCTGTCCTATCCCAATCCATCTTTTATCTATCTTGTCCCCTCTTTGCTTAAGAGTACCAACTCTGGCATTAAACCCTTTGAGTTCACATCATAGTTCTGCCTCTTGATGCTTGTCTCCATTCACAAGCTACTGAACGTCTGTGAGCCTCAGCATCTCCCTGAAAAACAAAGTTGGTTTTGTGAGCAGCAGAGACAGTGACGTACACCAAGTATTGAGCGTCCCTCCTCGCACAGGCACCAGTGTAGCTAACCCATTTGCCTTTCTCCTTTCCTTGTTCTAATCCTCCCTTTGCTAGCTCACCTTAACCCCATCACTTCTGTCCTGTGCCTTCCTTCTCCCATCCCCCTTCTTCCTTTCTAGAATTCCAAGTCCAAGAATCCCAGGCCACAAAGCCCAGTCCTTTCTCACTGTTGAGATGAAAACCTGGTGCCCGGAGTGAAAATGACATTACACAGCAAGTGAGGAAGAGGTGGCTGAGATAGGGTCTCACGTAGCTCATCTGGCCGTGAACTCGCTAAATAGTTGAGGTTGGCCTGGAGCATCTGATCCTCCGTGCCTCTGCCTCCTAAGGGCTTCGATCACAGGCATGACTACCATGCCCAGCTTTCTTTTCTTCTTTTCTTCTTTTCAGGCTTGCCTCTGTGCTAAGGGAGATCTTCCTTCCCTTTCCATCTTAAAAAAAATACCTACCCACTTTCCTTCATCCTATTCCTTCCCCCTCTGTCCTCTGTCCTGCTCCATTGCTGCCTCCTGGATGTATGTTCTGTGTTCCATCTTTACCCTTCCTATAGGGAAAGACTCTGAGCCAGCGAGGGCAGTTTGCCCTCTACATCTCTTCTCCTTCATTCCTCCCGTTCCCCGGCCTCTTCCGGGCTCTGAAGAGCAGTGCTCATCCACACTGTGGTATTAACAGTCAGTCACTTGTGAGGTGTCTTAGTACTCAGTTATTGATAGTCAAGTACCAGGGTTTAACATTGATCACTTGGGGAGTGAATTTGAGTTAACCTGCTGTTAGCCTCATTTAGCACCCACATTTTGATATGCATTTTGTGTAATTTCCACCAACTCCCAGAGTGCCCATGAAGCATAGGGTGCTCTTTTTTGGGGGAGAGTGGGGAGATAGCTCTCACTTTTAGCCTGGCAGATCCAGACTCACAGTGTCCATGCCTCAAGCTCCTGCGTGCTGAGTTTACAGACATTGCACCACTACACCGGGCTCGGAGCAATGTCATGTTTGAATTGAGGACAAGTGTAGCTTAGAGGGTGTGAAACTCTAAGAATTGTTTTGAGGAGTCACAGTAAAGAATAAATTTCCCCCCTTTTTTTTCAGGGCGTCCCCTTGGATACCAGTAAACTACCTACTGACCAGCGATTGCCCCCATACCCATATAGCCCTCCAAGTCTGGTTATACCCACCCATCCATCCACCCCAAAATCTCTACAGCAGTTGCCCTCTCAGGCCTGCTTAGTGCAGCCCTCAGGTGGACAGCCCCCGGGCAGGCCACCACACTATGGGGCACTGTACCCATCTGGGTCCAGTGGGCATGGGCAACAGCCTTACCACCGGCCAATAAATGACTTCAGCCTGGGGAACGTGAGTACACAGACTCATAGCTCTGAAGTGGGGGGGACTGAGGGTGAGCCAGGTACTTGCGTGGTGGGGGGTCCGCTGAATTGGGAGATAGGGGGTGGGGACCTCCTTTTCCCCCAGGTATCATAGCACTGCCAGCTTGGGGCTCCTGTCTTCCTGTGTTTGACCTACTCCTGCCCTCTGTTTCCGCTCAGCTTGCTCTTTGATGATCCCGCCTTGACCCGTTCTCTTCCTGGCATGCACATGCTCTGGCCCAGCAGGTACGGTGCCCACACTTAATCCGGGCCCCGTGCTCGCTTCTGTTGCTCTGCTTGCTGTCACCTCCCTCTGTCTTTGCTTCTCTTTCTGGGGTGGATGGGGCTTGCTAGGCAGGACACCTGTTCTCAAGCCCAGCTCCTCAAGGTCTGTCTGTGTGTCCCTAGCTGGAGCAGTTCAACATGGAGAGCCCATCAACCAGCCTGGTGCTGGATCCCCCGGCCTTTCCTGAAGGGCCTGGATTTTTAGGGGGTGAGGGATCAGTTAGTGGTCCCCAGGATCCTCATGTCCTCAACCACCAGAACTTGACCCACTGTTCCCGCCATGGCTCAGGACCCAATATCATACTCACAGGTGAGGGGTGTGGGTGGTGGTGGAGATTGGGGGGAAGCATTGGCAGCTTCACTGATGTCCTAGGAGACTGGGGGTTTGGAGGTGTGTGGCATGGAACCCTTACCTACCTCTTGTACACACAGGAGACTCCTCCCCAGGTTTCTCTAAGGAGATTGCAGCAGCCTTGGCTGGAGTACCTGGCTTTGAGGTGTCAGCATCTGGGTTGGAGCTGGGGCTGGGGCTGGGGCTGGAAGATGAGCTGCGCATGGAGCCGCTGGGCCTGGAAGGACTAACCATGCTGAGTGACCCCGGTGCCCTGCTGCCTGACCCTGCTGTGGAGGATTCATTCCGTAGTGACCGGCTGCAGTGAGGGGCTGCACTGCCATCCTTCTTCATGGTCCTGCCCTCGTCACTGTCCTGTCCACCCCTCCCCTGCCTAGGAGAGACTGCTCTCTGCCCCCAGATCCTTTTTCTAATATGAATGAAGGATCCTAAAAATGAGGAAATGGAAGGGGCGTGGCCCGGTGGCCCCTGAATACTGTACATCTGGTGGGCCTGGAGGAGCTCAAGGGAGGGCCTAAAGCACTTGTAACTTTGAAATGTTCCGTCTGGAGGTCAGAGCCTGTTGGGAAGCAAGGTGTAGAGGGGAATCTTGGAGGTAGGGCTTGTCCAGATAAGGGTGGGCATTATCAACCCCTCCCTATCTCTCTTCCCCTTGCAATGGAGGAGAGAGCCAGAGTGGATATTATTTTTTATTAAATATATTATATGTTAATAAAAAATCCTAACAAACCTTTTGTGTGGTTGGCTGTTTGGTAGATGACTGGGGACCTAAGGGGGTTGGGGTCCCCTGGGACCCCAAGCAGGAACAAGAAATTATAGACAGTTGTGAGGTGCTATGTGGGCACTGGGAATTGCAGTCAGTGGACTTAACCACTGAGCCATCTCTCCAGCGCCGTCCCGTGCCCCTGCTCTTTTTTTTTGGAGATAGTTTCTCTGACCAGGTTGGCCTGGAACTCAAGAGATCTACCTGCCTCTGCCTCCTGAGTGCTGGAAGTAAAGGCGTGTGCCACAACCCTGCTATTTTTTTATTTTTTGAGGCAGAATTTCTTTTGCATATTCCAGGCTACCTAGAAGTTTTATGCCTGATTTTTTCACCTGTTTCCTGAGTGCTGGCATTGTAAGCTTGTTTTCATCTTTTTGGCATTGTTATGGTTTGTGGATGGCCACCAGGCTCAGATTTGAGCCACAAATTGGACATGTCCTAGAGCCAATAAAGACTTCACCAATGGCAGCAGGAAGTCGCCTCATGTGCCCTCATGTTTGTCTAAGGCTCGGCTGCAGCATCAGGGGAGGGGGCACCCTGACTGGCCAGACAAGTTACTCTTCCTCACCCTGAGGCCTCGAGTAAGGAGATAGCTGTTGGCCCAGGTCACAGATGTTTCTGGTAGAATAACCTCAGCTCCCCTGGGGGTAGCTATTCCCAGTATTGGGGCTTCTGACCACAGAGGATTTGGTAACTATGAACTCCAAGTGAGTATCAGGTCTAGCTGTCTCCTCTGGTCATGTAAGCTTGCAGGGCCTATGCAACTCCGTGTACCTAGGATATTACTATTGTATATGAGTTTGCCCCCTTCTCTGCTCCATTTGAGTTTAACTCAACAGATCCTTGGGAGACTGCCATGTTCCACATAGGTTTTTCAGCTTTCACCCAGCACGGTAAAGGAGCGCTGCTCCTCCCCACCTCCACCATTCGGCTTTAAGCCTCTCTTCCTCTTTTTCAATGCTCTTGTCATTTTTCGAAAGGAGAACTGAGAACTTCTGGCTCCGGCGAGTGTGTTCTAAACCTGGAAGTGGGGAGTCACCTGGGCTTTCCAAGTCTAGGTCTTCAGGGCCTTCACCGTGGCACAGCGACCACATCTGACTGTAGGACGGAGGGCAGGACAGGAGCACCGGCTCTGATTTCGGGGCCACCTGGGGTCAGTGTCTCGCTCGTCCGCTGGGTGGTGGGAATTCTGCTTGGTTGCAGGGGGCCCTCCCAGCCACCAGGGGTCGCGCTGCAGGCGGCAGGGTTCTGGGCCAGCGCTAGCCAGGGTCACGGCTGCAAGCCCGGGTTGTGGGGGGGGGCGGTGAAATAGCGGCGGCGCCCGCGGCTCTTGGGGGGGGTGGGGGGGTGAGTGGAGAAAGCAGGGCGCGCAGAAGAACGCGGGGGCCCCAGCACCGCGGGAGCCGGAGGACCGCGCGCTCGGAGCTAGCGGCTCGGCAGCAGTCCCCGCGTGGCGCAGCGCGGGGACGCTGGGACCGCCCAGATCTCTCTCCACAGTGCCCGGAGCCCTCGGCCGCCTCTTCTTCCTTCAGCCCGCGGCGCGAGCGGCTCCTAAGTAGAGCGCGCCATGTCCGGGGCTGGATAGCAGCCCGGCCGCCCGCCGGCCCGCCAGCCCGCCCTCCAAGCCACCCGCCAGCGGGCCGGCTGGGGAGTCCCAGGGCAGGCAGGTAGGGGCCGGACCGGGCGGGGCGGCAGGCGGGGAAGGGCGGGCGGAGGGCGGGCGGGAGGCGCGAGGGACTGTCCCCAGCTGTTCTTCTGCGCTGCGCATCTGGTTCCGCTTCCTCCCTCCCAGGGAAGTGAAAGTGGAGGAGAGGGCGCTACACGAAGCTAGCTAGCTGTGCCCGGCACCCTACACCCTGGAGCTCCCACGGGCGCCCAAGTCAGAGCACCCTTCCTTCCTGCTACGGTCACGCGGCTGCTGGCGCTGCTGCCGTCACGTTCTCGGCAGTCTGTGCGCGCGCCTCTCTCGGCCCTCTGGCCCTTTGCTCAGCCACCTCCCCCGCGGCGCGTCCTCTGCCCCAGCCCCGACTTCCCGTCCTCCGGCATGTGGGCGTTGGGACCCAGGGTGGCTCCAGTGCCGGCGTTTTCTCCAAGGGAGAAGGGGCTTTATTCGATAGGCCTCTACTCGGACTGGGTGAGGGTAGGCCTGGATGCACAAGTTCTGCTGATCCGGAGCCAGCCACTTGCCTGTAGAGGGTGTCATCTAACGGCTTTTGCCTGTAGCCTTGGGGCACAGAGCTCCTATTGGCCTGCAGTGGATGAGAGAGGGAGATGTGTCCTGGAGTTAAATCAGGAGGCTGACGCCGACTCCTGGCTTCACCTCTCAGATGTGGAGAAGCTCAAGCTAAATATAGCTTGAGTTGGAGCATGTGTGTCCAGAGGCCAGGTTAAGAAGACAGCCCGCCTGGCTCCAGGTCTCTGAGGAACAGTGGGAGGTTAAATAGACTGTGCATCCTGGAGACATTGGGAGTTTCCCCTGCTTTGCCCAGGATCCTTAGTGTGAGGCTTGTCTTGATCTGATACAGTGCTGGCACCTTCCGACAGCGCGGCCCCCTCCCATCGCTACCGCACACTCATAGGCTGACTTATGCTGAGCGGGCAGCAGCTTCCCCTTCGCAGCCCTTTCAGGAAGTAACCTCCCTTCCCCTCTGAAGCGCTCTCCCAGCCTCCAGCCCCTTGCAAGCCACCCACCAGGCTTCTTCCCACCTGCAGCACTCTGGGCTACCTCAGGACTCTTGGGGTGCCCACTCCCCAGGGTCAGGCCATGGAGGCAGGTGAGAAAAGTTACCAACAGACTGTTGTGGGCCTGATACTGTCTGGGTCTGGGTGGCATGGGCACGGAATGGCTGGAGCTCTCTCAGCGTCCCTAAACTACAAACACCTAAAGATTCTGGAGATGGGAGAGCCCTGGTTGCTTGGCCAAGTAGGTAAAGCTAAGCTAGAGAAAAAAAAAGTTACTCGAAGTCTGAGCAGAAACTAAATATTGGGTTTTGCGGGCCTTCCCAGAAACCTGTGGGGTCTTCTAAAAATGATTTAAGAGCATTAACTGTTTCAGAAGGTTCTTGTGGTGTTGCTACTGTCAGAGCAGGAAGGTCAGAGACCTGTGAGAATGCTAAGGCTTGTATGGTGTGAATGATGACATTGCAGGCCTTTATAGAAAATACTGTGTTCTCTGAGATGTAATTGTAGAGGGTGGAGAGGGGCAGGCCTTTAAAGGAATGGGTGAGCAATGTGTCAGATGTGTGTTGTGAGTTTGGGCTCTTTGGGAAGAGAGGGCTGATATCACTAAGAAGGAGGGACCTAGTGGTCTCTAAGGAGCTATAGTGGGATCTTGAGAGTCTGGTGATGTCACAGGCAGGAGAGTTCAGGATTGGCTGATCATTTATCCTTTCCTTAGAAGAACTAGGAAGAGAAAAGAAGAGGGGTTCATGGGAACCATGGGAACACTAGCCTCCGGTTGCCATGGGAATACTAGCCTCTCTTGCTTCATCTTTTTCTCAATTAACCATTCCAGATGCCGTGAGTGAAGGGGGGGCCATGGCGGATGAGCGGCCTCCCCGGTTGGTGGATTACTTTGTGGTGGCTGGGCTTGCAGGAAATGGAGCCCCTATACCTGAGGAGACGTGGGTTCCTGAACCTACTGGGCCCCTGCGCCCTCCCCGGCCAGCTGAACCTATTACAGACGTGGCAGTCATCGCCAGAGCACTGGGCGAGGAAGTGCCCCAGGGTTATACATGCATCCAGACTTCTGCTGGTGGCCACCCCTTGGAGCTCAGTGCTGGGCTCCTGGGTGGAACTCAACCAGCCATCTGCTACCGTAGGGGGCGTGACAAGCCCCCCCTCGTTGAGCTGGGGTGTGTACCCCTGTCAGTGCTGGCGCTAGGGGAAGGTGGGAGGGACTTTTGAGTGAGCTGAGAAGAGGGGAGGATATGGGTTGAGAGGAAGAACATGGGAACGGTAGCAGAATGGACTAGAGGTCGGGGGGAGGGACATGCTGCCTGTGCTGCTGCTTTACCAGCCAGTGAATGTTTCTCCACCTGTAAAAGGGGGATAGCGACTCCTCACCGGCTGCTTCAGGACATCAAATGGGATAAGCCATGTGGGGAACTCAGCGAAGAGTCAGTCTGTTGGTTCTTGGTGCTTACTCTTGAGAACTGCGGAGGGCATGGCTTGCAGAAATGATTACTGCCTGAGAGGTAGAGCCAAGGGCAGATGAGGGCAAGGATCCTGAAGGACAGGGCTAAGCAGGAAGTGGTGGGCTGTCCTCCCAGAGTCTGACAAAGCTAAGAGAAGGTGGCCGGGTTAGGAGACCAGGTAGGCAGATCCGGTAGGACCACGTCTTTTGTGCTGACCCCTTGACGTCTTCGCTCCCTGTGCCCAGGGTGTTATATGAAGGGAAGGAACGGCCCAAACCTGGCTTCCAAGTGCTTGACACAACACCATATAGTCACTCAGCCAACCTGGCCCCTCCAGGCCCTGGACACCCCCGCACCTACCTCATGTACCGGCGGGCCGCAGACGGGGCAGGGTTGCATGCCCTGGGCATCACTGACCTTTGCCTGGTTCTGCCCAGCAAGGGTGAGGGCACTCCTCACACTTACTGCCGGCTGCCCCGCAACCTCAACCCTGGCATGGTGAGTGGTATTGAGAGCTACAGCCTGGGCCATCGGTGTGAGGGTGTAGACACGGGGAACAAAGTATATTGGGGACCGAGGCCGCTGACACAAGTGCCAGATGAGGTGGCTTGGCTGGGAGGACTGGGATCAGGGGCAGCTCTGAAGACAAAAGGCAACTGCAGGGTGGTGGAAGGAAGATGGCCCCCAGAAACCTTTGTTAGTGATGTGTCTGCCTATCTCTTGTCATTCCTGGGGCAGTGGGGCCCAGCAGTGTACCTGTGCTACAAGGTGGGCCTGGCCAAAGCCAACACACTGGTGTATGAGGCAGGTGAGTGATCCCTTTGCCCTTCCTATCCTTTGACCCTCCGTCCCTCTGCTCGGTACGTCTTGGTAACTTCAGTGATGATCCCAGAACTTATTTCCCTTCACCATCTAGCCCTTCTCTGGGATCCTCTAGTTTCTTTATCTGGAATCTAACGGACCTCTTTACTCTAATGGGTGCTTTTGATTCTACTGGAGTATAGAGCTGCTGGGCCGCTACCCAGAGGAAGACAACGAGGCATTCCCACTGCCCGAGTCAGTGCCGGTCTTCTGCCTGCCCATGGGAGCCACCATCGAGTGCTGGCCTGCTCAGACCAAGTACCCGGTGCCCGTCTTCTCCACCTTCGTGCTCACGGGTGCTGCTGGAGATAAGGTGGGCATGTGGAGTGTGGTAAGGGGGTCCACGCAATGCAGAGCCCATCTGATCAACCCTATGCCCCTGCCAGGTGTATGGTGCCGCCTTGCAGTTCTATGAAGCGTTCCCGAGGGCCAGGCTGTCAGAGAGGCAGGCACGGGCACTGGGCCTGCTGAGTGCCGTGGAACGGGGCCGGGCACTGGGGGGCCGAGCGGTGCGCAGCCGGCGAGCCATTGCTGTGCTGTCCCGCTGGCCGGCTTTCCCAGCCTTCAGAGCCTTCCTCACCTTCCTTTACCGCTACTCCGTCTCAGGCCCCCATCGTCTGCCCTTGGAAGCGTGAGCACGGCTCTCCTGACCCCGGGGAGTTACGGAGGCATTAGGGAGGATAAATGGGCGATGTCAGAATGGGATTGGGGGAGGGGCACGTACACTGAGCACCCAGAGGACGGGACTTCGGTGTATGGTTATAAAGCTTGTCCATTAAGAAAGCTACTGGCTAGCCGGGCGTTGGTGGCGCACACCTTTAATCCCAGCACTCGGAAGGCAGAGGCAGGCGGATTGCTGTGAGTTCGAGACCAGCCTGGAATACCAAGCGAGTTCCAGGACAGCCTCCAAAGCCACAGAGAAACCCTGTCTCGAAAAACCAAAAAAAAAAAAAAAAAAAAAAAAAGAAAGCTACTGGCTAGGCTGGGCGGTGGTGGCGCACGCCTTTAATCCCAGCACTCGGGAGGCAGAGGCAGGCGGATCGCTGTGAGTTCGAGGCCGGGCTGGCCTCCAAAACAATACAGAGAAACCCTGTCTCGTAAAAAAAAAAAAAAAAGCTACTGGCTAGAGGTAAGTGGATCCTGGAATCTAGCCTGCGCTTGTTAATTGGGTCTTGGCTAGGTCTATGTATGCCCAGCACAGATCTGTTTCTTATTTTTATTTGTTTATTTATTTACTTATGAGACAGGGTTTACTATATAGCCCTGGGTGGCCTAGAACTCTCCACATAGACCAGGCTGGCCTCAAAATGACAGAGGTGACTTCCTTAGTATTGGGATTAAAGGCATGTGCCACCATGCCCAGTTTTGTTATTATTATTTCTTTTAGAGAAGTTCTTATGGTAGCCTCGGTTGGCCTGGAGCTCATTGTGTAGATGAGGGGATTTCAGGCCAGGGGATCTCTTTTCTAATATATATAAGATGTGTATATAAAGCTGATCTGAGTCAAGGGGCAGGGTTCAGGGAGGAAGGAGGTTTTTGAGGCTCGGGTAAAGAGATGGGGATGTGTGGAGGGATAGGACGGGGACAGGCTGGAGAGTCTGCACCAACTTCCTCCTCTCTCCCTAGGCACATCTCCCACTTCATTCACAACGTCCCGTTCCCTTCCCCACAGAGACCGCGCATCCTAGTGCAGGTGAGAGGTGAGCCTGGGGCTGGGCTGGGCTGGATGAAAGGAGAGGAGTCGGCAGGGGCTAGCCTTGAGCATCCTGACCTGTGGTTCCTCTCTCAGATGTCTCCCTATGACAACCTGCTCCTCTGTCAACCTGTCTCCTCACCCCTGCCCCTCAGGTATGTGCCTGAATGGGGGGGTGGGACCTCGATGACATGGGGTAGGAGGTATGAGTCAGATGAGCACCTTTGCCGACTGGCCCGGTGGTGACTGTGTCCAGCTCCCAAGTCTACTGCTGACCCTGTTTTCCTTTTACGCCCTCAGTGGTGCTAGCTTTCTGCAGCTGCTGCAGAACCTGGGCCCCGAATTGGCTATTACATTGCTGCTGGCTGTGCTCACAGAGCACAAACTTCTGGTCCACTCACTGCGGCCAGATCTGCTCACCAGTGTCTGTGAGGCCCTTGTCTCCGTGAGTACTGCCTTATCTAGTCTACTTCTTCCAGGACTGCTGTCTTTTCTGGTACCTCTCCATCCAGAACTGGAGTCCTCTGCTTTTCCTTCCTTAGGAAGAGGGTCTTCAGTCTCTCTGCCTGGGTTTAGTTGTTAGAGAAAGGGTTTTTCTTCAAGCTTAGTTCGATAGCTTCTTTCTTTTCTTTTTTAAGACTTATTTATTATTTATGCAGTGTTCTTGCATGTAAACATAACAATCTCATTATAGATGGTTGTGAGCCATGTGGTTGCTGGGAATTGGACTTAGGTCCTCTGAAAGAACAGACAGTGCTCTTAACCTCTGAGCTGTCTCTCCAGTCCCCCCAATAGCTTCTTTCAATAGGCCCGCCCTCCCCAAGGCCAGGGCCCCTGTGTTCACTGGTGCTCACTCCTTGGTCTGTAGATGATCTTCCCTCTGCACTGGCAGTGCCCCTACATTCCGCTGTGCCCGCTGGTGCTGGCGGATGTGCTGAACGCCCCTGTGCCCTTCATTGTGGGTATCCACTCCAGTTATTTCGATCTGCATGATCCACCTGCTGATGTCATCTGTGTTGATCTTGATACCAACACACTCTTCCAGTACGAGGCTAAGTATCATTTGAGGGCTAGGGAGGGAAACCTGCAAGGGCTGGTGTGTGGGTTTATTATCTACTCAAAGGGATTTTAGACTTCGTAGAAGCCCTGACATCCTTTCTCCTTATGTCATCTCTTAGAACGGAGGAGAAGAAGCCCCTCTCTGCTAGGACCCTGCCCCGCAGACCATACAAGCTTTTGCTGGCCACACTGACAAATCTGTACCAGCAGCTGGATCAGAGTGAGAAGGCTGTGGGCTTGGGAGGCTGGGAGCTGTTGTTGGCCTCAAATATCCAGTTTGAGGGGAGGCCCAAGGGGCAATAGATATTCTCTGAAGTGCTTAGAGGAGTTTGGATTTGATGGAATTGAAATGAAACTAGAGGCAGGGCCAGGGGAACAGCATTCCTGAGCCTATCAAGAAAGTTGAGGGGCTGGAGAGATGGCTCAGGGGTTAAGAGCACTGGCTGCTCTTCCAGAGGATCAGGGTTCAATTCCAAGCATTCACATGGCAGCTCATAACTGTCTATAACTCTAGCTCCAGGGAATCTGACACCTTTATACAATGACAATAAAATTAATTATTTAGAAAGAAAGGAAGAAAGAAAGTTGAGCCTGGCCTGGTATTGGTGGTGCATGCCTTTAATCCCAGCACTCGTGAGGCAGAGGCAGGTGGATCTCTGTGAGTTCGAGGCCAGCCTGGTCTACAAAGCAAGTTCCAGGACAGCCAGAGCTGTTACACAGAGAAAAATCTTGTATCAAACAAAAACAAAATCAAAAAACCTGTTGAGCCTGTCACTGGAGAGGCATGGAACTGATGCCCAAATGTATGCTTTTGGTCACTCCTCATGCAAGATCTGTCAGAGGCAGATTTTGGAGATGGAGACATTTGTGTGAAAAACAGGGTGAGACAAGCCCTGTGAGTGCTAAGCTTGACTCTCAGACATATTGATTCCCAGCTTACACTGGACCAGAAGAGGAGGCCTCCCTGGAGTTCCTGCTGACAGACTACGAGGCTGTATGTGGCCGCAGGACGCGCCTGGAGCGGGAAGTCCAGGGAGCCTTCCTGCGCTTCATGGCTTGTCTGCTCAAAGGCTACAGGGACTTCCTGCGCCCTCTCACCCAGGCCCCATCTGAGGGGTCTCGAGATGTAGACAACCTCTTCAACCTTCAGGGTAAGTAACGAGGGTAAGTACTTGTAAAAGGTTTTGAGGGAGGGCATGGTTAGGGGTTTGGGCTTCATGGGGAAGAAGAGGCACTGGCTGGCAGTGGAGAGACTGCTTATAACGCCACTCTTCTGGTCTTGGAGGCAATAAGGGTACAGAGGTGAATGTGCCCTGCTATCCAGGAGCCCTTGGCATAAGGTGAACAGCACAGGGGTACAGGCCTATTGAGGGGCCTGCCTTTGGGAAATTCCCAGTCTGCAGCAGTAGACACAAGCAGATAAACGGGAGGCACTGCAGGGCTGTGGTGTTGGAGAGCTGAACTGCTCTGTGGGAAAGGCATGACTGAGAGCTGTATATCCGAATGGCGAGAGCTAAGAACTGGGTACAGATAGATGGAGAATTATGGTAACCCCCTTCTGACCCATCCTTACCCCCTCAGGTTTCCTCAAGTCTCGGGAACGCTCTAGCCACAAGCTGTACTCCCAGCTGCTGCACACGCAGATGTTCTCACAGTTCATCGAGGAATGCTCTTTTGGCTCTGCCCGGCATGCTGCCCTTGAATTCTTTGACTCTTGTGTCGATAAGGTATCGGGCATTGTCCCTTCTGTATGTACCCACTGACCACTGAGTTGCTCCTGGTCGCCTCTGTTGTCCCGAGGCGCGCCTGTGGTGGACTGACTGATGGAGTTAGACAAAGCATCGCTCGGGCAGCGATACGTGGCCAGCTTCATTTGTTTTACCGCCCCTTCATTCTTGACTCCTCCCCTCCAGATGGATCTCCAGGACTCCTCCCCCGTGAAATTGTTTTTCTGGGAAAGGCCATCTTCTGGGGACCCTGGCTCTGTTAACTCTTACTCTTTTATCATCCCGTTCCAGGTTCACCCAGAGCAGGAGAAACCTGAGCCAACGCCCTTAGTGGAGCTGGAGGAGCTATCAGGAAGTGAGCTCACTGTCTTCATCACCCCACCAGAGGAGCCCCCGCTACTAGAAGGCAGTGAATCTACTCCCCAGTACTGGTAAGAGTGATTTTTCCTTTCGCCTGTCCCAAGGCACATGCTCAGCCCTGTGGTAACTGCCTCCGTGTTGTCTCTGTCTCCCCAGTTATGATGGGTTTCCAGAGCTAAGAGCTGAACTGTTCGAGTCTCCTCAGGAACAACAGGGAGCCCTGCCTGTGCCGGGCCCATCACGGAGTGCCCCCAGCAGTCCTGCTCCTCGTCGTACCAAGCAGGTAAGCAGCAGTGGCCCCTGGGGGAACCTGGCACGCTGCTTATTGCTTAATGATCAAATGAGGATATTAATGGTGCTCATCTCATAAAGCTGCTGGGAGGTTTCATAAAAAAACCAAACAAAACAAAAAACCAAAACGTACAGCCAGACATAGTGATGCATGCTTTTGATTTCAATACTTGGGAGGCAGAGGCAGGCAGATGTCTTGAGTTCAAGGTCAGCCTGATCTATATAGTGAATTCCAGGACAGCCAAAGCTGTATAGTGAGACCCTGTCTCAAAAAAACCAAACAACAAAATGCTGCGTAAACATTAGCTTTTGTCATTTACCATCGTCTCCTGAGGTGGAGCTGAGCCGCCTCTTGCAAGGTGCCCACCTATGCTCCAGAGGCTACTCCGTCCCACTGAGGCTCCCGGGAGGGTTGTAGCTTAGGCAGTAGTGCCTCAGCCCTCGTGAGTCCCTGGAACACAGACCCTGTCTCAGGAAAAGTGTTACTTTTCACACTGTCCTATACTCAGGAGGCTGAGGCAAGATCTGGTATTTGAGTCTGGCCTCAGACTTCATCTCAGAAAAATATTTAAAAAAAGCCATCCCAGCACTCAGGAGGCAGAGGCAGGTGGATCTCTGTGAGTTCGAGGCTAGCCTGGTCTACAGAGCGAGTTCCAGGACAGCCCCCGAAACAATACAGAGAAACCCTGTCTTGAAAAAAAAGAAAAGAAAAGATCAATACTGGCCTTGGCATTGTGTTTACCTTGGTGTGTCCCTTGCCCCACCTAGGAGATGAAGGTTGCGCAGCGAATGGCACAGAAGTCAGCCACTGTGCCTGAGCTGTGGGCCCGGTGCCTACTGGGTCACTGTTATGGACTGTGGTTCCTGTGCCTGCCTGCCTATGTGCGTGCAGCACCCTCCCGAGTGCGAGCACTGCATAAAGCCTACCATGTGTTGCGTGAGATGGAGAGCCGCAAGGTGGTGCTCCCTGATGAGGTAGGCATTCACTACCCACCACCCCTAATCCCAGCGAGGATGTGCAGCTCATACCCACCCCTAATCCCAGCGAGGATGTGCAGCTCTAGGGACTATGACAGGGGAACTTGGTGGAGACCAGGTAAAGTGAATGGGCAGCCCAGAGTTGAGTAGCTGCTCCATCAACGATCACAAATCGCATGAGCATGTGCAGGGTAAAAGTGGAGACTGCAGGGCATCGGGAGCAGCAGGAAGGAACCGCCAGGAGCCAGTACGTCCTCTGAGAATTAGGAGGCTGGTGCTTGCTGAGACTTGGGGATTTGGGTCGGAGTGAATCCTTTACGTCCTGTGAATCTCTTGGCCTAGGTATGTTACCGGGTGTTAATGCAGCTCTGCTCACACTATGGGCAGCCTGTGCTGTCTGTACGAGTCATGCTGGAGATGCGGCGGGCAGGCATTGTGCCCAACACCATCACCTACGGTTACTACAACAAGGTACTTCATTTGGGGCAAGAGCAGGATGGGAGTCTGTGCTGAGGCCTGGTGCAGGGAGAATGCTGTTCTTTGACAGCTGCTGCTGTTCCTATTCCTTGGTCCTGTAGTCATTTTGTGCTTCTGAACTGTTGCTTTTGTACAGATAGAAGGTCTTTTCCTTTTGTTTGGTTTTTGTTTTTTCAGACTTAGCTACTTTGATTCTCTCTTTTTTTTTTTTTTTTGCTACTTTGCTACTTATTTATAACAACCTTAAGCTCCATGCCTGACACTGTCCTAGATACATTATACATTTTAAATCATTTTGTCTCCACTGTGCCCCATGGCATAGAATGGTCATACCCTGTATTATAGGAATTGAGGATGCAGAGAATTTGTAACTTGCCCCAGGTCCCACAGTAAGCAAGTTAGGGAGTCAGAATATAAGCAAAATTATATTTAGAATTCAGCATCTTAACCATAATACTAAACTGTCTCCTGTTTTTCAGATAAGAAAACTAAATAGTCAAGCAGTTGAGATTATTTCTTCAAAGACATTCAGTTTATCAATAGAGTCTAGCTGGGCATGACGATGCACAATTTTAACCCCAGCACTCAGGAGGCAGAAGCAGGAGGATCTCTGTGAGGTCAAGGCCATTCTGGTCTACCGAGTGAGTTCCAGGCCAGCCAGGGCTACATAGTGAGATCCTATATCAATGGATGGATGGATGGATGGATGGATGGATGGATGGATGGATGGATGGATGGATGGTAGAAGCTAGATACACTTTTCTCTATTACCCCATTATTACTGACAATGCCTCTTTGGGGCTCCTGTTTCTGGGAGAGCTATTGGCTAGATAGTCCTAGCCAGCATGTTTGGAGAAGAAGGTCATCCCTGGGGTTCAGGACAGGAGGTAAGGCATCACTAGACCAGCACTGTGATTGACAGGCTGTGCTGGAAAGCAAATGGCCATCTGGTACACCGGGTGGACGCCTACGCTGGGCCAAGCTCCGGAATGTTGTCTTGGGGGCCGCTCAGTTCCGCCAACCTTTGAAGGACAGACGGCAGCAACAGCAGCAGTGGCAGCAGCAACAGGTGGCTGTGCATCAAGAGTCGGGCAGCTCTCAGACAGGTGGGTAGGGAATGGCAAGATAGCTGTGTGCCAGACACGATGGCTCACACCTACAGTCCCAGCACTTGGGAAGCTAAGACAGGGTGAGTGCTTGTTGCAAATTCAAGGCTACCTTGAATTTAGTGAGTTCCAGGCCAGATTGGAATACATAGTGAGAATTTGTATCAAAAGAAAAAGAAGGAGAGGGGTGGTGGTGGCCCAAGCCTTTATCCCAGCACTCAAAAGGCAGAGGCAGAGGGGGGCAGATCTCTGTGCATTCTTGGCCAGCCTTGTCTACATGGTGAGTTCCAGGACAGCCAAGGCTACACAGAGAAACCCTGTCTCGAAAAACGACAAAAAAGACAGGGCTGGATAAGGTGGTTGGGTTCAGATGGGAAGAGACCCAGAAAACTAGGACTGGCAGGCCTTTCTGTGGGTAAACTGCATTTGTTGTAGCGAGGTGTAAAGTTCCACCTAGGAGAAACCCTGCAAAACCCAAGGGGCCGTTTCGGTCCGTGGCTAAATTCTTGTGCTTTCAACAGAGCCCTGTCTCGAGCGCCCCTCCCCAACACGCCCTCTTCAGCGCCAGACTACTTGGGCAGGGCGAAGCCTTCGGGAACCATCCTCACCAACTGGACGCCTGGTCAAGAGTGGCAGCCTGGGCAGTGCCCGAGGGGCACAGCCCACTGTGGAGGCTGGTGTGGCTCACAGTGAGTACCTTACCTGACCTTCCCTCCCTCTTCCTCCCATTGAGCTTTCCTGACAGCTTTTCAGCTAGAGATGGGCAGACTAGGGCCATGATCTGGTTAGCTCCATGTAATGGTTAGTGGTCCTGTAGGCCCCTGAGGCAATCTTGTTATGGTGAGTTGTGATGTTAGAGTTTGTTGGTTTATACAGTTTGCGTTCTAAAAATTTTATTTAATGTGTCTGGGTGTTTTGCCTGCATGTATGGTAGTGTATCACCTGTACCCCTGGTGCTCACGGAGGCCAGAAGAGGCTATCAGATCCCCTGAAACTGGAGTTCCACGAAGTTGTGAGCTGCCATGTGGGTGCTGGGGGTTGAACCAGATCTCAGGAAGAGCAGTGCACCTAACTGCTGAGCCATCTTTCCTGTCACTGACAGTTTTTGCTGCAAGAATTGTGTTTACTCAGGAGAAGAACACCTGGAAGAGTGCACGGCTCATCTTTCAATTCTCTTTTGACCTGCAGTGATAGAGGCCTTGGGGGTCCTCGAACCCCGTGGCTCAGCTGTGCCTTGGCAGGATGGAAGTCTCTCAGACCTGAGTCTCACAGGGGAAGAACTGGCATCTGGAGGGAGCCCAGGGGGCTCAGGCTCAGCCCTGAGTGCCCAGTCCACGGAGGCTCTAGAAGGGATAAGTGGGCGGGGTCCCAAAACTAGTGGATATCAGGAGGAGGTGGGCACCCCCAGAAAAGGGCTTGGTGCCCGCCTCCAACAGCTGCTCACCCCTTCCCGCCGCTCCTCTACCTCCCGCATCCCCCAACCTGAGTTGCCCCCTGACCTGCCTCCTGCGGCCCGCCGGAGTCCCATGGATAGCCTGCTGTGGCCCCGAGAACGGCCTGGATCTACTGCTTCTGAGGTACCCAGTGAGAGAGGGGATACCTTCCTATCAGGAGGGGAGGGGCTGCTGCCTGGGAGACGCCCCAAAGGTGACTCTGAGAGTGACTGAAACCAGCATTCTAAGTGAGAGGGACAAAGGACCAGCAGACTGTGCTTTCTCTTGTAATGCAGAGTTCTGCTTCTCTGGGCAGTGAGTGGGATCTCTCAGAGTCTTCTCTCAGTAGCCTGAGTCTTCGCCGTTCCTCCGAGCGCCTCAGTGACACCCCTGGACCTTTCCAACCACCCTCCCTGGAAGTGAGCACGCCCTCATCTGCACGATTGTGCTGGAACACACACAGCTCGTATCTCCTCCTGGAAAAGCAGGGGAAGGGGGGAGGTGAAAGGAGGTCTGGCTGGGTTTTAGAGATGGCAGGGATAAGAAAGGGCGTGGGCTTTGGGGCCCTGGAACCAGATGAGGCTCATTTCCTGGGGTCTCGTTGCCTGCAGATTCTGCTGTCCAGCTGCTCCCTGTGCCGCGCCTGCGATTCTCTGGTGTATGACGAGGAAATCATGGCTGGCTGGGCACCTGATGACTCTAACCTCAATACAACGTGCCCCTTCTGCTCCTGTCCCTTTGTGCCCCTGCTCAGTGTCCAGACCCTTGATTCTCGACCCAGGTGCTCAAAGCAGGAAAAGTGCTATGGGAGGGACAAGCAGATGGTACTCCAAGAGCTGACGCCTCCTGCTGTTCTCCTGCAGTGCCCCTAGCCCAAAGTCTGCCCTTGCTGGTGCCAGCGGCAGCAAAGATGCTCCCGTTCCCGGGGGTCCTGGCCCTGTGCTCAGTGACCGGAGGCTCTGCCTTGCCCTGGATGAACCCCAGCTCTGCAATGGGCATATGGGGGTAAGGGCTGGGCCAGAGGGATGTGAGGAAGTGGGCGTGTGTTGTCTGTTGAGGGCAGGTCAAGAGGTGCCAGGTAGATGGGCATTGGGGATGAGGGGCATGCAAGAGGCTTTGGGACTTGCTGCGTTACGGGAAGGCAAGTCTCTGGGTGGGAGCCTCTAGTGTATCTGTACCAACTCTTTCTTACTTGTGCCTATAGAGTGCTCTCCGGAGAGTTGAGAACGGGGCATGGGCATACCTGAGCCCTCTGGTGCTTCGGAAGGAGCTGGAGTCTCTGGTAGACAATGAGGGCAGCGAGGTGTTGGCATTGCCTGAGCTGCCAGCTGCCCACCCCATCATCTTCTGGAACCTCCTGTGGTATTTCCAACGGCTGCGCCTGCCCAGTATTCTGCCAGGCTTGATGTTGGCCTCCTATGATGGGCCTTCACCCCGCCAGGTCAGGGCCCTGTGTTGTCCGTCCTCGCCTCTCAGGTCTTCGTCTCCTAGTCCTCTCTGCCCTTAGCAGCGTAGAAAAGCCATTTTACCAGGCACATTTGCTACTCGGACCCTCCATTCCATCATCTCTCAGATGGCGTAAACAGTAACCTAACAGGATAGGTACTTGATTTAGTGACTAGTACCTAAAAATCGTTCATGCTTTTCTGTTTATTCTGCCAATATTTATTGCATACATTCTAGGGTCCAGGTGCTAGGTACGTAACAAAGTAAAACAGAATTCTTATTCATAAGAACTGGGAGCTCGGGAGGCAGAGGCAGGCAGATCTCTGTGAGTTTGAGGCCAACCTGGTCTACAAGAGCAAGTTCCAGGACAGCCTCCAAAACAATTCAAAGAAACCCTGTCTCAAAAAACCAAAAAAAAAAAAAAAAAAAAAAAAAAAACCAAACTGGGAGAAGAGAATTTCTTTCCTTAGGACATAGTGGCTCTAGTCTTTAATCCCAACATTTGGGAGGAGGCATGCAGGTAGATCTCTGTGAGTTCAAGGCCTGCCAATCTACATAGTGAGACCCTACAGCTAAAATAAGTTCTTTCCCTTTCTCTTTTATCATGTCCTGTAATGTCCCCTGTTTCTCTGAACATTGTCTGTCCTTCTCTTGTCCTCTGCCTCTCATTCTGAATTTTTCTTCTTATCTCAGTCCTCCCAGGGACCATCTCCTTGGCTCACCCCTGATCCAGCCTCTGTGCATGTGCGTCTGCTATGGGATGTCCTGAGCCCTGATCCCCACAGCTGCCCACCGCTCTATGTGCTCTGGAGGGTCCACAGTGAGTTGGTACTTGATCTAGGAGTGGAAGGGTTGGGCTCCTCATCTAGAGAATTTGGTGATCCTGGTAAGCCTTCTTTCCTTTCATCCAGGCCAGATCCCACAGCGAGTAGTATGGCCAGGCCCAGTACCCTCTTGTCTTAGCCTGGCATTACTGGAGTCAGTGCTGCGCCATGTTGGACTCAATGAGGTTCATAAAGCTGTCGGGCTCCTGCTGGAAACTCTAGGGCCTCCTCCCGCTGGCCTGCACCTGCAGAGGTACGATGCTCTCACCTAGGTGGCCTGTCCCTTGCACCTCTTTTCTTTGACCCTCTTCTATGTTTACTACAGGGGGATCTACCGTGAGATCTTATTCTTGACGATGGCTGCTCTGGGCAAGGACCACGTGGACATAGGTAAGGATGCAATCAGGTGCTGAAGGGATAAAGGACACGGGACCAGACATGAAAGGAGGTCCTAATGCATCAATTTCCATCCTCTCCCCTAGTGGCTTTCGACAAGAAGTACAAGTCTGCCTTTAACAAGCTGGCCAGCAGCATGGGCAAGGAGGAACTGAGGCGGCGGCGGGCGCAGATGCCTACTCCCAAGGCCATTGACTGCCGAAAATGTTTTGGAGCACCTCTGGAATGCTAGGGACCCTAAAGTTTTCCTCTCCTGCCTTGGGTAGACAGGCGAGGAAGAGTGGATTCTAGACATAGCTTGGCTCCCTATTCCCTTCATAGAGGAACTGGAAACAGGCTGTTCAGCCATAGGCTCCAAGTGGAAATAGCAGGAAGATGAACTCACTGTTAGCAAAAGTCACAATTCCCGCAGCTCCCACCTGCCCAGTTTGTTCATGCTGATGTTGGGGAGAGCTGGGGAAGTTGGCACAACTCCATTCTTTCTCCGTCCTATTCCAGGGTACCCTCAGATCTGCAGCACCCTGGTAGAATTAGAAGTTTTTGTTTTAAAAAACAACTGGAAAGATTTAGAGTTCCTGAGCCTTTGCCCTGAATGGGAGGGAGGAATTTCACTCCCCACCTCTCTTCCCTGACATTGCTAAAGGAGCCCAAGGCAATCTTAGTGTTGTATTTTATTTAGTTATTTATTCTGAGGCCACAGCTCCTATACTTATGAGATTCTCAAGGAGCACAAGAAAGAGAAGGGAATTAGGTTTGTAGCTCCTTGAGAGCCATGCACTGGGACTTAGAGGAGTCCCAAGCTTCCCTTGGGAAGAATTGGTGCCTCTTCTAGTCCCGATCCTTCTTGTCCACTCTACCTTGGGGAATGCCTCTCCTGTTCATGGCCTTGACCTGTGCAATAAGGATTGTTCTCTGCAAAGTGTTGTTGTATGTAAATATAGTAAAAGCTGCTTCTGTCTTTTTTCCTTATGCCTCCTGTTCTCTGGATTTGGGGTGATGCCTTATGTTTCCTGAGTGCACATTCTCTTTGCTGCCTTCCCATTCTTTGTAACCATCAGGTGCATCCCAGCCACTTGGTGTATAGGGAGTTGCTGGAGCAGAAGGGTGAATCCAGTGCTCGTTATGGTGGTGCCAGTCTTCGGGGCACTTCCGGCCCTCCCACACAATCACCCCCTTGTCCCTCATTTGTACCCCACACAAAGGCTCCATTCTCTGGGGGCCCTGAGCTCATCTTTGCCTTATTTCCTCTCCTCCTGTCCCCTCCCTGACCCCAGCTTCTTCTGCACCTTCACAAAGAAGATAGCTCTCCTCACTCGCTGCCATTTCCAGCCCTCTTGCATATCAGAAGCTCCGGCTATCATCCCAGCTCTCCTTAGTTGCTCAGCTCCAGACAGTGCTCCTCACTGTGATCTAAACTTGGAGGCAGCAATGGAAAGCAAGGAGTAACGGTCTCCTTGCGAATGCCAGGGAGATGGGCATCATTCTTCTCTATTTTATTTTTTAGATTATTTTTATGGGTGTGTGTGTGTGTGTTAAGAGTATATATATTGGGCTTGGGAGATGGCTCAGAGGTTAAGAGCACTGACTGCTCTTCCAGAGGTCCTGAGTTCAATTCCCAGCAACCACAAGGTGGTTTACAACCATCTATAATGAGATCTGGTGCCCTCTTCTGGTGTGGAGGAATACATTCAGGCAAAAGGCTGTATACACTCGGGAGGCAGAGGCAGGCGGATCTCTGGGAGTTAGAGACCAGCCTGGTCTACAGAGTGAGTTCCAGAACAGCCTCCAAAGCCACAGAGAAAGCCTGTCTTGAAAAAAAAAAAGTATATATGTGCACCGCATGTATGCAGTACCAACAGAAGCCAAAACAGGGTGTTGGATATTCTGGAACTGCAGTCACCATGTTGATGCTAGGAACAGAACCCAGATCCTCTGCAAGAGAAGCAAGAAGCAAGTGCTTTTAACTGATGAGCTGTATTTCTCTAGTCTCCTACTCCTTTTAAAATTGTGTGTGTGTGTGTGTGTGTGTGTGTGTGTGTGTGTGTGTGTGTGTATGCAAGTGCACCAACCAAATATACAGGTTCACACAGCAGCCAGAACAGAGGGTTGGGTCCCTTGGAGCAGGCAGTTGTGAGTTGCTGGATGTGGGTGCTGGGAACTGAATCTGAGTTCTGAAAGACCTGTAAGCACTTTTTTTTTTTTTTTGGGTTTTTCGAGACAGGGTTTCTCTGTGGTTTTGGAGGCTGTCCTGGCACTCGCTCTGTAGACCAGGCTGGCCTCGAACTCACAGAGATCCGCCTGCCTCTGCCTCCCGAGGGCTGGGATTAAAGGCGTGCGCCACCAGCGCCCGGCTGACCTGTAAGCACTCTTAACTGCTGAGTTATCTATGTCACTCCCCAGGCATCATTTTTCTAATCTCAGGCCCATCTGGAATTTTCTCTCCTTTTCTTTTATAATGAAATAAACACAGGAAACGACTCCTAGCAGAGCTACAAAACCAATTACTAAGGGGAATCAACTAACACAAATGCCTTGGGGAAGAAAGGCAGGGGTATTCATGAAGGACATGATTTACACAGAACATTAGAGCAGATTCCTAGGAGGTGGCAATCGATGGATGAAAACAATGCAGGCTAGGGGTGGTGGCACACCCTTTAATCCCAGCAAGCTGGTTAGAGGCGAGTGGTCTGTGAGCTCTGGGCCAGCTAGTCTGGTCTATATTAGGAATTATAGGCTAGCTAGGGCACTTCAGTGAGACCATGTCTTAAAAAAAATGTTACTTTTAATTATTAAGACCTTAAGACCTGAAGCAACACACCTTTAATCCCATTAAAGAAGAATTTTATAATTTGCATGAAAGCTGGACCTGGTGGTATAGACCTGTAATCTCAGCTACCCCAGAGGCTTGGTACGATTGCTAGTTTTTTTTTTTTTTTTGGTTTTTGGTTTTTTGAGACAGGGTTTCTCTGTGGCTTTGGAGGCTGTCCTGGAACTCACTTGGTAGTCCAGGCTGGTCTCGAACTCACAGAGATCCGCCTGCCTCTGCCTCCCGAGTGCTGGGATTAAAGGCGTGCGCCACCAACGCCCGGCCGCTAGTTGTTTTTTTTTTAAGATTTATTTATTTCTTATGAACACAACACCCTGCCTCCATGTACGTCTACACACCAGCAGAGGGCACCAGATCTCATTACAGATGGTTGTGAGCCACCATGTGGTTGCTGGGAATTGAACTCAGGACACCTGGAAGAGCAGTCAGTGCTCTTAACTTCTGAGCCATCTCTCCAGCCCCCGATTGCTAGTTTTTAGGGGCCTGCCTAGGCTAGTACCAGGCTAGTCTGGGCATCTTATTACCATTCCTGTCTCAAAATAAAATAAATCCATATAACAACTTTTGAGAGTTATGGCTATAGCTTAGTTCAATTCACTGTAATACAGATAATCTATATGAAATGCTAAGCGTGCTCAATAATGTTGGCTTCCTGGGGTGTAGAGATGGCATAGTGATTAAGAACACCTGCTGAGCCTGGCTGTGGTGGTGCATACCTGTAATGCCAGCAGAGGCAGGTGGATCTCAGTGAGTTCGAGGCCAGCCTGGTCTACAGAGCAAGTGCTAGAGTGAGTGCTAGGATAGGCTCCAAAGTTACACAGAGAAACTCTGTTTTGAAAAACAAAACAACAACAAAAAAATGGGCGTTGGTGGTGTATGCTTTTAATCCCAGCACTCAGGAGGCAGAGGCAGGTGGATCTCTGTGAGTTTGAGACCAGCCTGGTCTACAAGAGCTAGTTCAGGACAGCCTCCAAAGCCACAGAGAAACCCTGTCTGGAACACACACACACACACACACACACACACACACACACACACACACACACACACAAAACTTACATTTTTTTCTAGATTACAAAAAAAAAGTTGGCTTTAGGGCCTGGAGATGGTCCAGTGATTGTTGGCACTGGGCAGAGCCTGGCAAACCTGGTGGAGGAAGCGAGGAAGGGATTGCAAGAGCCCAGGGGTCCAGGGCACCACCCACAGAGTCCACTAGGCAGGGCTCATGGCAGTCATGGAGACTGAAGGGACAATCAAGGACCCTGTGTGGGTCTGGGCTGGGTCCTTTGCATTTTCTTTGTGGTTGTATAGCTGAATGGTTTGTGGGGCTCCTGGCAGTGGGAGTTGGGGGTGTTGGTAAATACCAGAACCACACCCTTTCCAGAAACATATGCTCCTCCAGCCAGCCTCAGGCAACTCAGCTCCAGCAGTCACATCATCCCCTGGAGTTGGCGGCTCTTATTTTCCAATCTTCGGGTGCCCACTACTCAGCCCCCAAATAAATACATGGAGACTTATTCTTCGTTTGTTTTTGAGACAGGATTTCTCTTTTTTAGAGGGGGTTTCCAAGACAGGGTTTTTCTGTGGCTTTGGAGGCTGTCCTAGAACTCCCTCTGTAAACCAGGTTAGTGTCAAACTCACAGAGATCCACCTGCCTCTGCCTCCTGAGTACTGGGACTAATGGCATGAGCCACCACCACCCAGTCACATATTTTTTTAAAAACTATTTTTGAAAAAGTTGTTATGCCAGCTAAGGATCTCTGTGAACTCAAGGCCAGTCTGGTCTACATAGTGAGTTCCAGACCAGCCAAACTTGCATAGTGAGACTCTTTTTAGAAAAAAGAAAAGTTGATCTCCAACAGTCTCAGGTCACAGGCAGGCCCTGTGCCCAACAGCCACAAAATGAATTCAATGATATTATTGAAGTTTTTGTTTTGTTTTGTTGTTTTTCTTATAATGCTTTGTCTGGTCATCTTCCTTCCTTCCTTCCTTTTTTTTTTTTTTTTTTTTTTTTTTTTGAGACAGGGTTTCTGTGTGTAGTCCTGGCAGTTCTAGAACTCACTATGTAGACCATGCTAGCCTTGAACTCAGAGATCTGCCTGCTTCTGCCTCTGGAGTGCTGGAATTAAAGGTGAGTGCCACCCCTGCCCAACTGCCCAGCATTTTTTAAAAACCTTTTATCTTTTGCTTATATGTTGTGATTTCTGATTTTGTGTTTTTCTGGGATTTGTGTGTGTGGGAGTGTGTTTCTTGTGTTTTCCCTTTGATTCTTTCTTTTCTGTTTGTTTGTTTTGTGCTATTCTGGCTTGTTTTTATTTTTAGATGCTTGTTTTCTAATGAGAGGAAAAGAAAGGGTGTGGATTTAGGCAAGTAGGAAGGATCTGGGAGGAGTTGGGGAAGGGGAAACCACAATTAGAATATATTGCATGAAAAAAATCTTTTTTTTTTCCAAAACAGGGTTTCTCTGTAGCCCTGGCTGTCCTGGAACTATAGAGACCAGGCTGGCCTGGAATTCAGAGATCCTTCTTCCTCTACCTCCTGAGTGCTAGAATTAGAGTGTATACCACCACTGCCTGGCCAAAAAAAAAAAAAAAAGTGTCTAGATTCAATTAAAAAAAAAAAGTCAGTTTCACAGAGAAAATAGATGTAGGCACTGGGGAAGCAGAGGCAGGAGGCTGACCACAACTCCAAGGCTAAACGGAAATATGTAAGAAGATCAAAAACAAAAACCGAAAAACTACCAAACCAAATCAAAGTCAGAGTTTATGTACAGTGTTCTGTTTGCATTATCAGAACCAGATTGCTTATAGATGGTTGTGAGCCACCTTGTGGTTGCTGGGAATTGAACTCAGGACCTCTGGAAGAGCAGTCAGTGCTCTTAACCTCTGAGCCATCTCTCCAATTTTTCAAAGTCAGAGTTTATACAGGACCATTTTGTGTCCACTACAATTACAGTTGTGGCCTCACTTACTTTTCTTCCTCAGAGCTTGATTGCTTCTACTACAAAGCCCATGGCCTGATTTTTATTTTGTTGGAAAGCATTTTCTTAGTGTTTGTGTTCCCTTCTTTAGGTTGTATCATATTCTACCATGTTTCACATGTTTTTTCAAAGCCTTAGAGGATAGCCCTTCAGACAGC